TGCTGAACTTCTTGGAAGATAAGTGCGTTCATCTAATATTTAAGTAATTATTTGTCCTAGACCCTTTGCATTAAACACTTAAGATTAATCATTAAAAAATAACCTTATCTCCGGCATTTGCCTCCTTTATAAAACTAGTTGTATATCAGTAGACGAGAATGGACTCTTCTTTAATAAATATAGGCCTAGTGACAATTTCATTCGAAGAGCTTCATAAAGGTCGTTCAAACACATCTTGGATATCTTCGCGGGAAGCATCACTCATCTTCCCGCCAAATTCTATTGTATCGTCTACTATTATTATTTCTCATGGAGTAAGAACTATGAAAGAATACCCCCGGGGAGCAGTCCTTAAATCTTATTCTCACCTTGATCCCCTCTGTCAAAACTAGATGATCAAAACAGAAGAACCCCCATTGCTAAAAAAATAAAATGATACGCACCATTTGTAACTCATGGCGTGGAATGGGATAACATATCTAGCCTTCACACTTGTGCATCGCTACGACAACACACCGCTTCTAAGACTTCTGCTAGCGGGTCTGGCACCGAACCGCCATATTGGAATTATATTGGAATTGTACTAACGCGTTGAAGTCTGCGTATTGATCGCCGCCGATTATGACTGGTCGTCCGTGGCAGCGGTAGTCAAGTACAATGAACCTGACTTTAATTATGAAGTTCCACGATCTCTCATATGGTGATGTATTAGGTCATTTTGTGAAACAGAAAATGAAAAAACATTTAAGCCATTCAGAAAAATATCAATAGTCTGGCTTCTTTTTAATTCATAAAAAACGAACATTATTCTAGTTAATTTTCTCTTTTTAGACCAAGAATAAAAATATCTGATTATTATATAGTTTTACGAAATAAAATGGAAAGTGTGGACTTAATTACTCAAAAATACGCAGAATCAAGCAATAGTTTTTACTTGGATGCAATCGCTTATTAAAACACTTGCAGGGGCGAATTTAGGACTATGAGGACATCAGCCCTACTGGTAATCAATGAATTAGAATATTAAAAACTACGTCAGATGTTTTTCTTTTCAAAATATAGGATGTTGCATTATTCTTGTACATACAAACGGTTTTCCCGCGCCCCCATAATTAATTCCATATTCCAGCTATCCGCCAATGGATCTCCGGGATCCGCCCATTAGGGTATATTATCCAAGCCTGACTAGAACAAAATCGCAAAAAAAGGAATATATCATAAGACCTGATAGGATCACCACGATTAAAAAGACGAATCATTATAGTGGGTTCCCACCAGTAATCGTGTTGACCTTATCGAAACGTACCCGAATGTATTTGCACGTAGCAGATCGTGGACTCATATAGGGACAATCCGATCATAACGCATCGCACGACAGTGGGAACCTGATATAAGGGGTTGATAGCGGCTCCAGGCTCCCTACCACTGACTCGACCTTTCTTACCTCTGGATTAACACTGTTAGCCTGACAATGACAATATACTTTTATAAAACAAAATGCCGAAAAACAGAATTGTCTGTGACGTATGTTTTCAAGGAGACATGTCTATTGAAGCTCGGCTTATTATAATGGAGTGAATACAATATATCTCAGAATTTTTCAATATTGTACTCGCTTGGTCAACAGTGTTTATTTTGCTAGAAATATACCATTAACCCGTTCGTGACAAAAAAATCGCCAGCATTAGATTTCGCGATATGATCACCACTAGAAAGTTGTGTCTTTATTATAGTCGGTCTAGCGAATGCAACCATAATTGCTATGATAATTGACACTAATACGAGACTGAACACAATACTGATGTGGTTATTTTATCTGTGTCAAATTGTAATCACAATTTTCAGAAAAATAAATCTGAACTTCATATTATAGCAGACCCACTGGATCGTAAGTCCGCATAGTGAATTTGATACAGCACTTAACAATCACAGACTGTTACAGCTGTAATGTAAAATATCGTTTTCTGGGGTGATAATTGTTTCACAGGGATTGGAGGGAGGGTGGGGTGGGGTGGGGGTACACATCATCCCTCATGTCTATTTTGATTTGATTTTTTTGAATGCCGTCAGTTGATGAGGCTAATAAAATGGAATTTACATAGTTCAACACGCCGACTTTCGTTTTAATCTTTCGATACGAAGATTTAATCGTATAGAGCCTGTCCAGTCACTGATCAATATAACGCATTATAATTTATTTTGACCTAAAGCAGGGAGGAAATTAAAGGGGTTAACTTCTTATACCTTTAAACCTTAACGCAGACGGGTAAATGCTGAAATTTTTACCGGACGGCGGCTTGTCCACCTACACTTATATTAGTTCCAACTGTCAAAATCCCCTTACGCAAAAGAGTACTAGATAATGATACTTGAAATGAATATAATTTTCGAAGCAATGGTTAAATTATAGATATATCGTGTATCTTGTATAGGATTCATATTTATATATTAAACAATCTTTTTATTAAAACAAATGACGATACAGAACCTTCTTTCAAAATAGAAAATGTGTTGAACATGTAATCATAAATATCATTGAGTGCAATAGCTCAATTGAGACATCTTAAATATCTCAATTGAAATAAAAATAGTAAAATACCAGAAAGGGCAGAAATGAAAATAATAAGAGCGGTTGGGTACGATTCGAGGTGATTATTTGGCTTTAAAACTGAAAGAAAGCATGTGGTGATGTTATGCTAACCGTGGTGGATATATTCTGGGTGTTGTCTTATTGTAAATATAACGTATAGTGTAGTACGGGTGTCCTTGCATCAATACGCCCATTTCAGTCTCTTCTTCCCCTACGGGACCATGGGACAAGACGCTGTGCCTTAACAGCCCCCCACCACCACAACCGCTATTGACATTAACGAGATACAAGTTTTAAAGAATTCACGTCTGTCTTTTTTAAATGCCTATATAAGAACTTCAATGTTCATTTCAACACAGTCTAATATCACAGACATTTGGGCAGTGGCAGATATGTAGGCTATTTGGTGGAGTGGGGTGAGACAGTCTAATCCTTGAGTGTAAGTGCCGGGGGGGGGGGCGTGAATGGGCGAATGGTTAGCACGTGTGCGCTGTATCGTACGGTCTGCCATTGAGCCAACTGGTGTGGTTTCGATTCCCCGGTTGTACGTGATAAGGAGTAGGGTCGCTTGCCCAACCTCGTGAGTTTTCTCGGGGTCCTCCGGTTTCCTCTCACTGCTAAAGACCCTAGATAACAAACCTCATCTCTCAACCCTCCGTGTTTCGAGATAAGATGTTGTGATATAGTTCCACGTAGCAAAGCCCAATACAAATCACATCGGGTATTAATTAGTACGCAAATTTGACAATATCTTTCATCAAAACAACGATAGTAAATTGTTATCTATATATATATTTGTGACTGTCGTTTGACTGTCTGTATGTCTGTTCGGGGTTGGCGGCTACACTAGGTCTGCCCCGAGTCTGAAATTTGGGGTATAGGGGTAGCTCGGACCGGGGAGTAACATAGGCCAGGTGGTGTTAGTCTACCACTTCCGGTTTCGGAGTTATGACCCCCGAGCAAAGCCGGGTATCCTGCTAGTATCCAGGATTTATCCTGGTATAAATCATCGTATTTAAAATCGAGGCGTTAAGCCGTTACTATGAACGCCGTTTTAAATGGGAGATTAAATGAAAATGAAATGAAATGGGGTTTAGCGTCCTACTGTTCTGCTCCGAACTGGGCTAATGAAGACGGGCATACGCCATACAGTGTGCTATGAGGGAAATTTTGCCCGGACAGCGGCACTACGGCCTACTCTTATATCGAATTCCAACTTCAAGGGATCTTTTACGTGCACGCCAATATGTACACGGGACCTCGGTTTTTCGTCCCACCCGAATGACTAGACAGCCCTCCGTCATGCATCACTGACAAGGGGGAACCACGCCGGAAAATCTGGATGAAGTTTCTCGGCCAATGCAGGGATCGAACACCCGACCTCCAGGCTAGCGAGTCAGCGTCTTACCCACTTAGCCACGTGATCCCCATAAATGGGAGATGTACGGCGGTGTATGTCGGATAAGACAACGCTTCATTAATTTAAACGCGAATACCTCGACGTTTTTAGCTACGTTCTCGTAGCTACTAACCACTGCGCGCAAGCGCATTATTGAAATAAAATTGAACCATGTGTTAGTCCAGAAATGACCTAGTTTGTGTCGAGTGGACGTTAAACTCTCGCTCTCTCTCTCTCTTCCTCTCTCTCTCTACCCCCCCCCCCCCCTCTCTCTCTCTCTTAAGGGTTAGTGCTAAATGATAAGGCCAGCTCAATTTTTAATGGGCCTCCGAAGCGCCCATCACCAAAACCTACCAAAAGCCCCGAATTTAAACCTTTCATAGACTAACAATAACAAGTAAATTTTTATACTGATGTAGGGGGCTATGGTCCCTGATTTTTTTTAAATGGATTTCTGGAAACTCATTATTAAGAATGTGATGTAATATGTTAAAAGGGAGACAAATTCATTCTATAACGCTAACAACAGGATTCACACCACAACTCTTTGTACAGTCCTGACCTATAATTATGTTTCAACAAATTTAATCAAGCCGATGTATTCTGCTATATATTAAAGACGCCATAGGGTTTGGTGTATAAGATTTTCTCATAAAATTCTTCTTTACATTCTACGGTAAGAACTTGTGTGTGTGTGTGTGTTGGGGGGGGGGGGTAATTAAGCTTATTAAGAGGGGATGGGGTTCGTCGTAAGCCTATAATAACGTCACTCCCTAAATCCGCCGCTGATCTGTAGGAATTCTAATCGATCTCTTTTTCTATTTCTATGAATGAGTAAAAATAGTGTGTTAATGTGATATAAATCTATTATTTATCTAATTAATTTCTATACAGCTCACAGCTGTCACTGACTTCATTTTAGAAACATTTCGAGTTGATTAATATTCAATAATTTCTTCGCATATATTTGTAAAAGTAACAATATATACTTATTATCGCATAATAGTGGCGAAGACGTGTTGAAATTTTGACGAGAGATTAAAATGAAAAGTAACCAGAGCGCATCAGATGTGTAAAATTTAATTATATGAAATGATTTAAATGACCAATCCAAACATTAATTACAGATGTATTATTAGAAAAGAATATAAACTGAACGAACTTAAGTCTTACTTTTTATTAGACAAACGGATATTTCAAGGACTAAAAACTTTCACTTTATTCAATGGAAAAGACCCTAACTGGATTAAGAAGCGGATAATTTATGAACGAGTTTGAAGGCATATGGTTTAGAAATGAGTACGGCAATTCACTTTATCTATTTCATTATTTATTAATATACAATGTCGCTTATCCTTGTATTTGTGAACTCAGTGATACCGCATCAGTTACATATCTATTTGCTTGGTGTTTTACATGGAAACTATTTTATAACAGCAGATTGATATATCGTGCTGTTTCATTTTTTTCATTGTCTCCACTAGAGAGTTTGTCACAATCCAAACTGTTTATTATTAGTATAAATAATTAATTTGGTGTTATATTTATTTACATATTTTCTTTTTGGATGCTTATTATTAGGTCTACGTTTTTGCAGCTAAACAAATAAGGCACCTAACCAAACCGCGACACTGGGCGGTAATTCGTTTCTTTTAATATGAGTTGTTTTGGTTGACATCGCAGATATTTAACAGTAAAGGAGACGGCCCTCTTTGAATTGGTTTAAAAAAATAGTGATGAATTAGTTTGGTCTAACTAAAGTGTTATTTCGATTACACTCTTCTATATAGCCCGTCTGCTATAGAAGATTAGGACGATAAACCCTTTCATTTCATTTAATTTTGATGTCGATTAGTGACAAGCTCTAAATAGTTTCATCTCGAAAAATCCAACGGAAATAGCTTTAATTACTAATTTTAGTTTCGTTTTTGCCTTCCAATTTTAATGCAGACGGGAACCCACATTTAAAAACATAATATATGAACACGTCAAATATAACAAAAACAGCAAAATCAAAGAGGTCGTATCCGGAATAGAAACTATAAAGCATTTTCATTTCGCCTGTTGTGCTCTATCCAATTTGACTTCTTTCTTCGCCAACAGAATATAATATGGTGTTCTGTCCAACTGATCATCAGAATCTGCCAATCATATTTTTCTGAATCAACTGGTACAACTTTTGTATAGTTGGGCACTTCGCCATATTCCTTGGTGTGTAATTCAATGTAATGTGAGTTACTACATCTGATGATTTAATATTTTAAGATTATGCCATGCATTTTATTTACGTAAAGAGGTGTTTAAAAGCCCGAAAAATTGTATTAAAATAGGCTTATATTCATCACAATATAAGTTGTAATCCTTGTATCTTTTCACCCATATTTCAGTTGATCAGATGATGATTATGCTTATAGCCATTCTTTTGCCTGTGGCGTTGTTTTTGCTGCTCTTGGTGTACTTTAACGATGAACTAGAACAACAACCACCATGCCAACGGGGAGCCCGACCTGGTGCCACTCTACTTGCTGTACGACAAGAGCTCCCAGCCTGTTATGGCAACACAGGGACGTCGAATACAGCATTTTCTTCGGATACGGGACAATTTCATGGCACCCGTACGTGTATTAATACTGGTGTGACACATCCACCAAACACATACAGCAACCCAAACACACCCACTGATGTGAATGGCACGAGTTCGGCTGAGCATCCAACAACTGCAAGGAAACCCGAGCCAAAGCAACCTGGAGAAACCGCGCTAAAGACGGACGGACAGCCGTCCAGAACAAACCATAGCGACGAACCATCTTCTGTGAATGGTCAAGGAACGGTAGATCAACAGAAAGACACTAATTTGTCTCCAGTACAACCTGATGCAAAGGAAATTGAACCTTCGGCACCATACCGTGAAAATTTAATCTAAAGATAACGCGATTTACGGTCATGGATAATTTATCGCTTGTTAAGTGTAAATGTTCGGACATCATTTTAAATGTCTTACATGTACTTGCCAGAAATTTATTAATAACAGTTATCCTGCATTATTCCGGTTAACGGGGTTTCTGTCAATTTATATAACTTATTTTTAAATAAGTATTTATGTGAATTCGAGTTGCGGTAATTAACGTGCAGTTATACACTTGAACCTGATAAACTTTCAATTGACACAGAATGTCATACTCAGTGTTTCGATTGATTAGAAATGAAATGAAATGAAATGGAGTTTAACGTTCTACTGTTCTGCACCTAACCTGGGCTAATGAAGACGGGCATACGCCATACAGTGTGCTATGAGGGAAATTTTGCCCGGACAGCGGCACTACGGCCTACTCTTATATCGAATTCCAACTGCCAAGGGATCTTTGACCTGCACGCCAATGTGTACACGGGACCTCGGTTTTTCGTCCCATCCGAACGACTAGACAGCTTTCCTTGTCAGCCCCTCCGTCCTGCATTACTGACAAGGGAGAACCACGCCGGAAAATCTGGATGAACTTTCTCGGCCAATGCAGGGATCGAACACCCGATCTCCAGGCTAGCGAGCTGGCGTCTTACCCACTTAGCCACGATTGATTAGACCTAATCCCACTGGAAATTTCTGGAGCTTCGGGAATATGCAGAATATACGACTATTCGAGGATTGTGTTTTCTTAAAGTTTAATATCGGTGCACAAATGAATTAATTAAAAATCTGTCGAGCGGATCGAGCAATGTCATTTTTGTGCCTATATGAGGATGTGTTAGGTGACACAGTTATCAAAAATAGTGCCTCTTTCTTTCAACATTACCGAATCCTATGTAGTTGTACTGTTATGACCGGTTGAAATTGGATACAGAGATTTCATAGAATTTCCGTGGGCCTGTTTATAATGATAATTTCTATTTAAGATTATAGGTTGTTTTAAACAAAACTGTGTAGACAAAATGAGTCATCGAGCATTTCCGAATATTAAGTGACCTGGCAAAATTCTATTAAAGTATTAAAGCTAGGGTTACACAATAATGGTGATGATGTAAAGCCTACATACATTTAATTCGACAAAAAGGCCAGAAAGTGGGCCATAACGCCATACACACTAAATTAACTGAAGTATGACACGAACAGATTCATTTTGAAATATTAGATGTGTATCGAATGAATGAAGAGCAAATATATTATTACTCTATGATGCTCTTATGTTTACTTTTCAGAACATTTGTGTGGAAAGTCATTGTTCGATATTAAAATGTATTCATAAAGGAATATTTTATGGGTTCTAGTTTGTAAGATTGCAAAGGCTTCAGCAATGCATTCGAAACAATTTAATATATTGACCTATATTTTTGTAACAGCTGCTATTTACCAATTACTATAATTGTTATAGCGTGCCCGTGCAATTTTAGGACTGGTCCTGTTGGGGGGGGGGGGGTAGTGGGTCTACTGCATGCGAATTTACCGCAGTATATTTATACATGCAGACTTAGACAAAAGGAATTTTAAAGAGCGTATGACTCTATACTTTGGAACCTTAAAATACCTGAAAATTGGTCTAAAAGCAGGAATTAATACAATATCAGTGTATACAAAGTGATTTTCTCGTTAAGATAACATCAATATTGGTGGAAATGGACCAGATATTGAAGTTTGATTCGTGTTTTTAATGGATAATATTGAATTTTGTGGATAATATCAAGTTAGAGGTTTAGTTCCTTTAACTCTATTTAAAGCCCCATTTCCACTTTGGTAACGTAAAGGGTGATTTCTAAAGTTTATCGTAAATCTGATGTCCCACATTTCAGAACATACCCGTTGATAAAAAAAATGGGTTTAAATGCATGTAGAAGTAGCCTAAATAAGTTGTTTGTAAGATTTCAGCTCAGAATATTGAGCCCTTTGCTTAACAGGGTTGTTCAGTTGTTTGCGATTGACGATTATTTACCACTATAATTTCGGCAAGTATTTAAAGCAGAAATTATCGAGCACTTGTGAATCACGTGGAATTTGGGGATATAATTATCATCAACCACGTTTGTTATACTGCAAAACAGTCCCGCGATTCAGTTCGTTGTACTGATCTAGGATAAAGGTTCGCGCACATAGAATTAACCCCCGTTTGATTCACTAAAATATATCTGGGAAGAAATCATATAAATAGTTTCTTGTAACAGGTGAAATTGGGTGTAGAAATTAAACTGTTATTATACCACAGAAGAAATATTACACTCAATACTCTATATCTACAGGAAATCACCTCTCCTATAGCAGGAAGTAACATTATATATATATAATATATGTATATATGTATATGTATGTACCGATGTCTATCCTGTACTCAGCACTTATAATATACTGTATGTAATATAGTGTCCCTGTTGTTATATATACTAACAAATACAAATCTCATTAAAACTAGTTCGTTGTTTTGTTAGCCCCTTTTATTTTGATGGTCACGGCAGTGGGGTATACAACCAAATACTAAAACATTTTTTTTTATCAAAGATGCATTATATAATGTAAGAACTAAATCTACTTACTGAAGATCTTTCTTTTGGCCTCAAATGTTATATAAATTAATTAGACATTTATTCACACGATATATGATAGTTATAATCAACTCTCTAGATCGCGATTTAATAATTTAATTTAAAAATGGATTATCTAACATAATATTGCTTCTTCAATTTACAGTGGTGGGCTGAAGAGGAGCCTTAAGTAGCCTATGATATTTTCTCGCGCCGGGGAGGTGGGGTTGGGGTGGGGTCGCGGGTGGAGGTGGAATCCCTAGAATCAGGGGGCAGGGCCCACAATCCGTCTCTGGTAACTTAACAATTGCTCCCGCAAACCCGTATTCCCATTCCTGTATCTATACTAATTTCATTTTGTTTTAAATTTCGTTTTACTTGTCTTCACAACACTAGGATCTGGAAGAGTTGTTATATAACAGGCGTTCTGCTTGATGTGAGGAATAAGCCAATGAAACGGTCTGTTACGGCGAGTTTTTGGCGTGCTGTGCACGGAACTTTGGGTAAACCACTAGAAACGTCAACGCTTGACCCCTGACGCGACCTCCCATAACATCTAGTCAGATCTTCATGTCATAGAGGCCATCGAAAGTATAAAAAAACGAAACGAAATATACATCAGTATTTAATCAGATTGTAATATTTGTGACTGTCGTTTGTCTGTTTAGGGTTGGCGGCTACACTAGGGCTGTCCCTGGGCTGAAATTTGGTGCGGGGGTAGCTTATGCAAATTCACGTCTAATAGTTAGTGCAGGAGGACCTGCATACAAGACAAACTACAGGCATTGCAAGAAATAAACAACAAAATCAAATCAAGTGAATTTAATTGATACAGGGGCCAGTAGTAAGCGCCCACTGCGTTGTACAGTCCGGGCTACTATTCTTATCGCACTTTCAGCTTATTACTGCCACTTGTAGTAAGATAATATTTAAGATCGTTAGTGACATTAATAAGCTGAATAGTCATTAAAATAAAACACGAACATGTTGACTTTTTGCATTTACGCGGCACATAGCACATACTTTCGCATTGTCATCGTCATCAAAATATATCAGAGCAATTGTATAAATTGTGACATTGGTAATTTTAATGTCAGTAAAAGACCATTAATCCAAACAATTATATTTACATTTTATTTATTTATCATAGACCCCACCCCAAACTTTTACCGGCATTTTTATTTGCAGTGGAAAGAAATCGAGGACACGGAGATAACCCTTGAGGTTGGACAGGCGACCTTACTTCTTGTCATGTACAAGAATGAAATCGAAACCTCGCCCCTTGACTCAATGATAGACCTTACGCGTTAAACCAATCGGTCACAAGGAAACCATATCCATATAAGCGAGATAAACAAATTACGGCACAATGCGCAGGCCGCGACCTTTGATCCTTTCTTTCTCTGTCATTTTGTTTTCCTTTTAAACCTGGTTTCATCTGGTACCTACAATCTAGGGTAGGGTGGTTGTATCAATGCTTGGGCAACAGACAATTTTTTCTGGAGTATACTGATTTACACAGAGTAGCCCAATTTTTAGATGTGAAAAATTAAGATCAGATTTGAAGCCATAAAAAGCGCAATAGGCAGATATAGCTCCCACATAATGCATCTGAGCAATTCTAACCTAAGTGATTTCACATCAATATTTTATGTGAGGTTGAAAAATAAAGTAATAATAATTTTACATACAAATCAGCCCAATCGTGGTGTAGCTATTTTACTAGGATGTGCAAAGTTAAATAATAACAAATTAAAATAGGCCTTATACGACATATTTTTTTTTACTTTGATATGCATGTTACCAGTCTGGCTTGGTGTGCCTTAAGTGCTTGTAGTGTAATTAGTATATCTTTATTAATATTCATTATATTCTACATCACACAAAAATAAATCTTTATATACTTACATACACTTTATATAGCTCATTAATTACAATAATTATAATATTAACACATACTGACATTTCAAGTGTCAAATTTTCTCATTGTACCCTGTTGTATGAGTATCTGATCAGTAGGCTTATAATTTAAACCTAATTACTTTAAGATAATTTTATGTTCAAAAGTGTATGGCATATATAGCAATGTATTTTTAATATGTGTAACATATTAATATATTCACAGTACCTCAGCGTGTAAGACTTGGCTCTCTGACCTGGAGGTCCTGTGTTTGATCCGAGCTCATTGTAATTTTCAGCCATGCAGGACAAAGAAGCTTGCCAATCGGAATTTGAAATAACAGTAGGCAGAAGCACCGCTGTCCTGGCAAATTTTCCCTCAAGCACACCGAATTCATATATACTATTCAAAAAAAGTAGGGGATATTTGATTTTTAAGTGTTATTAAAGTCACCTAATGAAACTGACGAAGAAACAAATGACAAAATGAAATGAAGTTCACATTCATCGATTTATTCCAAATGATCGTTAGACTAAGTAAGGCACAGACTGACCATTATAAGGGTAAAATGATACCCGGGATCAAACAGCAAAGTTATCACAGCATCACAACCAAGTCAGTAACGGGTAAATCCTCCTCTGTTTGCCAAACAAGCATTGATGCGACGTGGCATACTCCTAATGAGACGTCTAAGGTCATTTTGGTCCAGATTGTCCCATTCCTGTTGCAACGCAGCAGCAAGTTCTTGGACATTGGCAGGACGTTGTTGACGTTGACGTAACCTCTGTCCAAGCATGTCCCAGACATGCTCGATGGGGGAGAGGTCAGGACTCAGTGCTGGCCAAGGTAATGTGGTGATGTTCTGTTGTTGGAGGTAACCTGTAACGATCCTGGCCCTGTGACATCTTGCGTTGTCATCCTGGAAGATGAAACGGCGGCCATGACGTCGTGCGAACGGCACAACCTGGACTGCCAAGATGTTGTCCCGGTAGTACTGGCCTGTAACACGCCCTGCAACAACATGTAAAGCCGTTCTTCCAGCAACAGTGATGCCTCCCCACACCATAACAGAACCACCCCCAAATCGATCATGTCTGATGACGTTAACGTCTTGGAAGCGCTCGTTTCGACGACGCCACACCCTCCTACGTCTGTCCAAAAAATCAACAGTGAACCTTGACTCATCTGAAAACATCACATTGCTCCCGCGTCGATTATCCCAGTGTTGACGATCCCTACACCAACGACGTCTTGCCTGAATGTGATGATCTCTCAAACAAGGGATCACGCGAGGACGTCGGGCGCGAAGGTGACCCCTATGCAGTCGATTCCGAATCGTCTGGCCACTCACTCTCACACCAGTGTCTGTTTGAAGACGAGCGCTGATCTGATTTGCTGTGATGACACGATTTCTCAAGGCCAAGGTACGGATAAATCGATCCTGGGCTTGAGTTGTCGCCCTTGGTCGACCTGAGCGTGGTCTTTTCTGTACAGATTGTGTATCACGGTATCTGACCATAGCCTGCTTATGACAGACTGAGAAACATTCATCGTCCGCGCCACAACCGCTTGTGTTGTGCCGATCTGTAGCATGCCAAGGGCACGTAACCTTTCATTTTGGGTAAGCCGACGCATATTAAAATTTGTTTTCTGGTCACTAAAACAATTAAACTGATGTTTCCACCCTGGAATTCAATGCCACAATGACTGTAACATTCAAAGTCAGAGTCGTGCAAATCTTGGGTTGGACCCCCATGATGATCCCAAGCATCACCTGCATTCCATGCGGTAGCTATTGGTGCGTTTGGGCGTCACATGTAACTGGAAATGTTTCTTCTGTTAGGTTCTATAGTGACTTTTTTCGTAGTCATTTGCATATTTTAGTATTATGCCCCCAAAATCAAATATCCCCTACTTTTTTTGAATAGTATATGATGGGTATTTAGTTTAAAGTAATATGAAGTGGTCTTAAATGTCCGGTTAAAGCAAAAAGTGGGGAATATACATTACCGGTAACCATGTTTAGCTGCATACATCATTGAGTGGGGTCATAGTTCTATATGAGGGAAACAAGTGGTCTACAGTACGTGGTGGCCACAGAAAATGGGAAAGTCCATACGAAATGAACAGTTTTAAGGGATATGGAAACGATATTATTGTTTGCGCATTAAGTTTATTCCACCGGGCTGTTTCAGTTGATCTATTGAGTTATCATTTAATTGATGCATGCTGTCTGTTCTGACATAAAGTATTGGAAATAAGCAGTTTTAGATGCCATGGAAAAAATATTACGGTTTGCACATCAAGTTTATTCCACCTGGCTGTTTCAGTTGATCTGCTGATCTATCATTCAATTGATGCATACTGTCTGATCCGACATAAAGCATTGGGGCCTTGCAAAGGTGTTTTGGACAGACGAAGAATACCTTAAGGACAATCAATGAGGCGGGTGAAAGGTGGGGTAGGGGCAAGAGAGAGAGAAATTGGGTTTAATGTCTACTCAACACAAACTAGGTCATTTCGGGACTAACATATGGTTTAATTTTATTTCAATAATTCGCTTGCGTGTAGGGGTCTTTAGCAATGGGAGGAAACCAGAGGACCCGGACAAAACCCACGAGGTTGGACAGGCGACCCTACTCCTTGTCCTGTACAACCAGGGATTCGAAACCATGCCAGTTGACTCAATGACAGACTTTAGGATACAGCGCGCACGTGCTAACCCCGCAGCAATTGGGTCCGGAGCAAAGTAAAAAAATAATTTTCTCACATAGTATACAGTTGGATCCCACCTCTAAAAATTTCTGGGTCCGTGCATGTACCCTACCTCCTTCACCACACTCTAAATTTATAAGCACAATAGAAAAAAACCATGGTGAATTACGTATTGTTTAATGGTCGAGAGCGAGACATTAAGTAATATATTGTAACAACAAGAGGACCGTCAGGTCCGAGTGTTTTTACAATATATTACGCAATGTCTCAGCTCGAGACCATTAAACATCTTAAAATACAGACACCCCGCACGTGCGTTTACAGTGAAATACGTCACTCGAGTCTAATATTTGACAAGGTACGATTGGCAAGTTGCCCGTACGATTATTTGAAATAATGGTACGCCAACATCAAAGGGTGACGTCACATCTGTATTTTAAATATATTTATTCACATACATTCAGCTGTTCGTTGAAAATATTGTAATAAATGTATAATATTAATAACATGTTTATAGTACATATTCATGCACTTAGATATATAAATTATATAAAGGTTCACCTGTAGATTTAGTTTTGAATCAACAATTTTATTGTTAGGAACTTTTTATATACTTAGTGTATATATATATATACTAGCTTTGTAACTTATTATATGTTATATATATATCCCAAGACTTGGAAATGCGAAACAATAAAATCTGTTTATAAATTTTATCTGGCAGGGTTCTACTAATCTTGCTATCTTTTGTGCAGATTTATCAAGCAAATATGAAACTACATATACTTATAGTTTGTCAGACTAGTAAGATTTAATTTATTCTTTCAAATATAAAGTGATGGCTAATCAAAATAAGTTCTTCTATATTTTGATAATTAGAAAAAAGTTACAATCTTCATTTGATAATTATAATTGTTATGAAAATATCTTTCCAAGTCTTAAATGTTGAATAATAATTTCAGTATATTAATTAAAGTGTATATGAATAATTTGTGTTTTCTTTCAATAAAAGATAAGAAAAATATGGATTTTTATCAAAATAACTGGTATAGATAATGTTTTGATAAATATATGGAATTTAATACAACATTCTATTTGATAATACCACGATTAAGCCACTCATAATACAGATCTTTTTTTGACGCACAACAGCAGATTATTTTTCTCTTGTCCGTGGAAGATTAAAAATCAAACATTGCAGGCTACAAATTCATTTGTCAAAAATATACGCTGTTTCACTGTACAACAGCATTACAATAGTCAATATAATTCAATATTGATTAATGCATTTGCATTTGTTTCATAATTTTTTTTTAAAAGTTGTATACCATTAAGGATGGTGGTATAAATTGAATAAACTAATGTAAACTCCAAATGGCTAAGTACAGTCTTACGGTCTTAATTTTGACTTACATCTTGGCATGTTACTGTTAGTTTCTTATTGCTCACAAGATATATAAACAAATGGTCCTTATAATTTGACTCAAAATGTATTGTACAACAGAAAATTCATTAAAATATTAATCGTTATTAAACTGCTCAATCACTACTAGACAATCCTATAAAAAAAGTATGTGTTGCCCATTTAACCCACATATTCAGAATTTTATATTACAAAATAGTTATATGACTGAAATAGCAGTACTTGAATTTCTATTTTCCCTGTTTACGTCAGAGAAAGATCTGTTCACAACCATGATCAGTTTTATTCGTCGTGTACAAAATATGTTTGGTAACAATAATTCATGTCACAGGTACTTGAAATTAAATTCGTGGTGGTATATCTTTCACTATAAATAAAGCTATACTACTAAGATCATAAATTCGAGTCTCTGTAATTCAGATTCCCTGGGATTCATCTACAAAGGAAATTAATTAACTGCTCAACAAAGAATTGTGGGGAAATTAAATTAAAACTCTGACATAATGAATAAAACCAATATAACGAATTGAAAGAGGAAATAATTTAATTTTGTTTTCAGGTTGTTAATAGTTTCCATGAATAAACAAATTAAAGGCTTTGCTAGTGAATACAGTTGGTATTTTATTTAATTGACCTTAAAGCTTATCCATTTCTAACAGAAAGGAACTAATCCTTAACAGGCTTAGCATATTCATGCTATACTTTTTAAAACCTGCAATAGTGACTATCTTCTGAGAAACATATACTTCTCTGGTGTAATTAGGACCATCAAGATCGATGTCAGCCCACAATCAAGAACATTTTACAGTTTTCTTCCTTTCTATCTAATGATTTGAAATTCAGCAAGTATATCATATAATATATAAATCTGTGACATGTCCATAGTGAAAACCTTTGTTTTATTAGATATATATAAAATCCTAAAAAAATACAGAAAAAACTGATTTAACCCAAATATTCATCTTATCAGATTCTCCCTGTGAATAACATATTCTGTGACTAACGCATTCTGTTAATAACATATTCTGTGAAAGCAATTTCATATAAAGTATTAATAAAACTTGTACTAAAACCAATAAAATATTACTATAATCTTTCATAATTTGAAACTATTATACATGATTAGATAATAAATAGAGTTAATTATAATTTTCTAAAACATTCCTCAATAATACCTTGGAATTCAAGTTCTATCAATATTAATAATTTCTCAAACTACATATGTCATAATGTTCAAATCTAGATAATGCAAAAATCTCTACACAGTAAATTTATTTGAACAAATTTTTAAAAATATCTCTGAAAACTATACCCACAAATTTTGGATTCAAATCCATGTCAGTTTTGCAAAAGCAGAAAATGTAAAAAAAAATTTACAGATGGTCATTGGGTAAGACATAAGCCGATTTGCCCGTGACAAAAATTGTTTCCATAACAAGACAACAAAATGTTTCTTCCTTAAATCTAATATACTACACATAATAATAAATATTAAACTACATATTATTGTATATCATTGAACAACTACATTTAATCTAATCTACACATAAAATAATTGGTTCGTAAAACTAAAATAACACAATTTCAAACAACTACAATGCTTTCATTGACCATTTTTGCTATTAAAAAAACTATATAGATCAGCCATATTACCTTAAATAAGGTAACAAACAAACTTGCACACTATCTGATATTTTAGCTAATTTTAGTCAGTATAGCATATGTTTTGACCAAAATAAGGTCTTGTTGATTCAACTAAAAACTGATAAAATATTCCTTCATTTCTAAGAAACTGATACTAACAAGCCAACAGTGGGGCTGATGTCCCCCGCCGAAATCCCAAAATAAATAGATGACACATATTAATTAATAGCACAAATGAAATCGATTAGCTCTGCTTAGCTTCAGCTCGAAATGTTAATCATTGAACTCAGTCAAGACATTCACCTAATGAACATCTACATCAAGTTTAAACATTCTACCTCAATTAAAAGCAGAGTTGTTATTTTGCAAAGTCTTGACCAATCAAATTGCTTATCGCTGCTTAGCCTAAGCAGAAAATTCTCACCATTGAACTTAGTCAAGGTAATGATATAATGAATCTATATTCAGAGTTTCATCGCTCTCACTTCATTATAACCAAAGTTATCGTGCCCCAAAGCATCAACCAATCAGATTGCTTATCTCTGCTTACTGTAAGCATACAATGTTCATCATCTAACACCATCAAGCCTACACCAAGTTTGAACATTCTTATTGTGTTCCAAAGTCTCGGCCAATCAAATTGCTTATCGCTCTGCTTACCCTGAGCAGAAAATGCTCATTATCGAACTTAGTCAAGGTATTGATGTAATGAAACTATACACCAAGTTTCATCACTCTCACTTACTTAGAACTAAAGTTATCGTGTCCCAAAGCATCAACCAATCAAATTGCTTATCTCTGCTTACCCTAAGCAGAAAATGCTCATCTTCGAACTCCATCAAGGCATTGACCTAATAAACACCTACACCAAGTTTGAACATTCTAGCTCAATTAGAAAGAGAGTTATTGTGTCCCAAAAAGTGTGACGGACAGACAGACGGACGGGCAAACCCATTTTAATAGTGCCCTGCTTTCTTCGAAAGGTGGGGGACAATAAATATCAAGTAGGCAATGGATTATCATTTAATAAGCAATAAGACAAAGATAATCCTGGCAGTATTATGCAGTAGAACTGATCTGATACAGTTAATGCACTGATCTGATACAGTTAATGCACTGATCAGATACAGTTAATGCACTGATCAGATACATTAAACATAAAATGTACAAATGACACCCTCACTCCATTTATTCAAACAAAGAATTTCTAAATGTACAGGCTATCAAAAATACCTCTACTGTTTAAGAAATTAAAATGTTTCAAATGTATTTTGTGAAAAACAAGGGTATTTTAAACAACTTAAATTTTTTATCTGAGAAAGAATGTAACGTATCATTACTATACGAATAGTTCACCAGCCAAATTAAACCAGCAGTTGCCGTGCAAGATACGCCCATTTTGCAAGAGATTTTTCATACCATCAGGGGTTAGAATCCAGGAATTTATGGTCTGAAATGCATGAATATCGAAAGGAAATGAGATCTTTAATGAAAATCGGACAAAAATTGTGACCTCTAGTAGCTCCACAACCAGCGTATTACATAATTTTACACTATAATTTTAGCGTACAAGAAACTGGCAGTTTTATTTTGGTTTTTCCGAAATTTGAACCCACACATCATTAGGGTGTAACAATAATATATTTAAACGATTTTTACAATTGGATAGAAATTGTGACCTCTGAAGGGTCCAAAAGCTAATATCACGATTGTTTCATACAATCAAAGGCCATAATCCAGGAAGTTACAGTCCAATATGCGCGAATATCGAAAGGAACCAAGATCTTTGGAATATAAACACAAATTTTAAGTTTCATCAAAATTGGATAAAAATTGTCACCTCTAGAGGGTCCACAACTTAGTATTACATAACGTTACACTATCTGCATACAAGGGTCGGCATACAAAATGTCAGGCAGTTTCGGTCCAATTTTCAAGAAATTTGAACTCAAACGTCGTTAGGTTATAACAGTGATATATTAAATGATTTTTACATTTGGATAGATATTGTGACCTCTGAAGGCCCCACAAGCTAAATCCTGATTTTTTTCGTACAATCTGGGGCTATACACATGAAAATGTGGGCGTATAAAAGACCAGGTAACTGGATGTTAATAATGTTCTGTTTGTATACTATTAATGATATGTTATGGTCTATGGTTAAGCAAAGATGATAAACCAGCGGTTGCCGGGCAAGATACTCCCACATTTTGTAAGAGATGGATAGAGAACAAGCTAAACACAAAAGCGATTTTTAGTCCAATTAGGGGCCTTAATCCAGAAAGATATGGTCTGACATGCGTAAATATCGAAAGTGACTGAGATCTTTGCGATATAAAGATATATTTTCAGTTCCATCAAAATTGAAAATAAATTGTGACAACCTTCATATTACATACTTTTACACAATTTGCATACAAAGAGCGGCCATTTTATCGAGTAGTTTCATTTCGATTTTCCCAAAATTCGAATTCAACCTTCATTATGGTGGAATGGTGATATATTTAAACGTTTTTAAAATTGAATAAAAAATTGCGACCTCTAGAGAATTGTACAATCATGGGCTGTAATCCTGGAAGTTACGCTCTGATATGCGCAAATAGCAAAAGGAACCAAGATCTTTGGGACATAAACATACATTTTAAGTTTCATCACAATCTGATAACAATTGTGACTTCCAGAGAGTCGAAAAACCTTGGTATGACATACTTTTACAGTATTTGTGTACACAAGGAGCCGCCATTTTGGTCCGATTTTCATGAAATTAGAACCCACCCGTCATTAGGATGTAACGGTAATAAATTTAAATTTTTTTTGAAATTGGATAAAAATTGTGACTTCTAGGGGTCCACAAGCTAAAGATAGGTTGCCAGGCAACGAAACATACGCCCACAGCAGCTAAATTGTCAGGGCAGTCAACAAGAGTTGTCACATATTTTTACTTTTTTCGGTAATGAAACATTTATAATACACTAAAATCTGATTAAAAGTAACAACTCATTAAGTAATTCAGAAAATCCGTAGTATGCTAACATTTAGTACACGAAACATTTAATATCATGGATTTAGCTGTTCAAGTTATCAAATTTCATTGAAACGCGATATACTTGTTCGTCTCAAGACCTTAACTCTGTGAATCAATCTGAAGTCAATCGGATGATAACTTTAGCCTCCAGAGCATCACAAGATTTTTCAAAGTGATCAAGGGCCATAACTTTGGCAGTAATTATCGGAAATCTGAAAATCAACAGAATTCTTCGTCTCATGACCTCAAACACTGCGTATAAATTTAAAGTCAATTGGATATTAACTTTAGCCTCTAGAGCATCCACAAGAGATTTTGAAGTGATCAAGGGCTTTAACTCTGGCTAAATTATCGGAAATAGCTGAAAATCAATAGGCTTCTTCATCTCATGACCTTAAACACTGTGTATAAATTTAAAGTCAATCGGATATTAACTTTAGCCTCTAGAGCATCCACAATTGCTGGTGGAAGCCGGAAGGACGGACGGGGGCGACGACAATTGAAATGTGGTCGTATAAAAATGCAATTTTTCGAACAATTAGGGACAATAATCCAGGAAGTTATGCTCGGATATGCGTGACTATCCAAAGGAATCAAGATCTTTGTGATATAAACATAAATTTAAATTTTCATCAAAATCAGACAAAAATTGTGGCTTCCAGTGGTTCCACAACCTTGACATACCAATATTTTTACACTATTTGTGTACGAGGGTTGGCCATTTTGTCTTGCAGTTTTGGTCAGATTTTCACGAAATTTGAACTCAACCATCATCAGGGTGTAACAGTGATATAGTCACAGGTTTTTTCAAATCAGATAAAAATTGTGACCTCTAGGGTCATAATTCAAGAAGTTACGATCCGATATGTGCAAATTTTAAAAGTAACCAAGATCTTTGGGTTATAAACATGTATTTCAAGTTTTATCAAAATCGGATCGAAATTGTGACATCTAGAGGGTCGACAACCTTGATATACCATATGTTTACACTATTTGCATACGAGGGGCGTCCATTTTGTCCGGCAGTTTTTGTCTGATAATTGCAAAATTTCAACTCAACCAACATTGCAGCGTTACGGTGAAATATTCAAACGTTTTTTTTAAATTGTATAATAATTGTGACCTCAAGGGTCATAATTCAGAAAGTTACGATCTGATATGCACTAATATCGAAAGAATCCTGGATCTTTGGGTTATAAACATGCATTTCCAGTTTCATCAAAATCAGATGAAAATTGTGAAGCTAAACATTTCACTTTTCGTACAATCCATGAAGTTATGGTCGGATACATGCCACTATCGAAAGCGACCAAGATCTTTGGTAGATTGACCTATACAGTATGTCAAGTTTTGTCAAAATCGGATAAAAATTGTGACCTGTAGAGTGTTCACAAAATTTTTTCAGACAGACGGACATCCTGACAGACAAGGGCGACGACAATATACGTCCACATGAAAATGTGGGCGTATAAAAAGCACTTCCATAAACTATTCAAGATAAAATACATCTGATATTTAACTCACTTAAAAAATTAAAATAAAATTGCTTTAAGAAATGAACCAAGAACATTTTGGCAATATGTACAATTTGGTAGGGTTTAATTTATAATTAAATACATATTTTTAAGATCAAATTTCATATTCTTTTCTCTTATAGTTTCTTGTTTGATTTAAACTCAAGACTAGCACATCAAACTTGTACTTTGTTTAATTGATTTAGGAAAGTAATTTGAGGTCCAACTTTTATGCAGTCTGATCAAAATAATCATTCTTTTTTCACTAGTTGATACAGCACATTACAGTTAAGGTTCCCTATTCAATGCCACATTTTCTGCTTGAAACACAAATAATAGCACCTGTTTCAGCAAAGTTATTTCTAATTATTCAGCAATATATGTGTATCCAATTAAATTTGTTACCCATATATAAAAAACACTACTATTCTCAACTACTAGTACTAAAATAATTTCAGTGTCCACAATAATACTAAATTCGTGTGTTCTGACTGTTGACTAAAGCACAATACACTTTCTTTTAAAAACTGGTAAAACAATGTCCTAAGTGTCTTTAAAAAAACAAAACAACACAAACAAATTGATCAATAAAAACCCAAAGTCTTTCCAGTTGCCGAGAACTTTCGTTGTTGCTTTATCTTGTGAAAGCTAGTTCTGGTTGATGCTGAACCGATCTTAATTCTTAAAATACTAAATTAAGTGGAATATTATTCAGATCTCTTTCACTGGTTATTCTAGTCATACACATATATTCAGCATTTAATCGTTATAGCAGCATAAAATGTCATGATTCAAAACAATAAAAGATCATTTGGCCTATCAATGAGGCTTCTTTGGCACTGGGGGAGGCCTGTCGGCCTCAGGTAAGGGTGGTTGGGGTTTATTTTTGATAGATGGTGTTGCTGAAGGTCTGCGTGGCAAAGTTTGAGGATCCACATCAACAGTATTAGTATAATCTGCATAAGCCGACTTTTCAGGAAGTGGTGGAGGTTCATCTGATGAGAATGCATCACTAGTATCTGATGTAGCTGTTGTGTTTGAGGCAAGACTTAAAGAACTTGTACTCAAATTATCACTCCTGAATTGATTACTTACAGGACGACTATTTTTATCTGATTCTGGTCTAGGTGGTCTTCTTGTCACAAGTTGTTCGCTCAGTTCTATAGGTTGTTCCAGTGAGGTGCGATTATCTGTAATAGAGTCTGCCACTGCAGAAGCTCTCTTGATAATGTTACCCATTTTGGATTGCAGACTTGTTTTTCCTGGTGACACAGACGTTTTGTCTGGTCGTACCCAAACAGATTGTGTCCTGTGACCTGAAGGGTATTTGTTTGGGGTTAAGGAGTTGATGTCAGAAGATGAGGAAGATGATGTGCTTGGATAATAACCGCTAGTCCTGCCTATAGCTGTGTTAGGAAGGGATTGGTTTCTTCTTAATGATGCACTAGCAAATCCTTTGTCAGCGACCTTAATGCCATATTCTTTTTCAATTATATTGCACATTTCAGCAAATCTTTGTTCCATGTGGGTGTGAAATGGTTTCAAGTTTTCAGGAGCCTTCCTTCGATGAATCATTAAAGCATCCCTTAGTAATGTTACTTGCTGAAGAGTGAGCTGTTTTAACTTCTCTATCAGTTCACTGTCATGCTGGCATTCACTGTGTAACAGATATTCTCCATTATAAAAAACTTTGTACATAGAGATTCCACCATTTACTGCTGGATCAACAACACCATTCAGCAACATCCCTAATGGATCGACACGAAGATTTGGATCAAGGCGATGCTGTTCTATCATTGATAAAATCTTCTTGTTTTTGTTTTCTAGTGTCTCAATGGCACTTTCTAGAGGGCTGACTGCAAATGTGCTCATTGAAACAACTGGGTACCATCCAACAATACCAGGTAGAGGATAAGACGTCACCAGGTTGGTTCTCTCTAGCCACATCTTGGTGACATCATTTGGGCTTTCGTCAGATTTTCTAGAATAGGTGAATTTTTGGACTTCATTGACCATGTAATATTTCAGGATTTGTTCCCCAACTTGTTTATTTTTGAAAGGTTCCTTTAACTCCATGATTGGACTGACAGCATTTATCTGCAGATGCTGTCTGGGAGATTCTTTAATTTCATCAGTAGGAGGATCAAGAGTCTTCATCAGCTCAGCATTAGGAAAGAGAATTTGCATTCTGGCATTGAAGTCCACCAGCCTTTCATACTCTTTACCTCTGTATATAAAGGCCTTATTTTGTAAAAATGAGGGAAAACCCCAACCGTAGTAACCAACCCTAAAATATTCTGGCTCTGGTCGCATCTGTCTCATGATATTGTCAAAGAGTTCAGCAAGACGTTTATGAGTTTTGCTCAGACTCATATAATCGAAGAGTTCTTTTTCATATAGCTGAGTCAGTTCCTTACAAAGTTCAATGCCCTTTTCCCACATTTTACCTTTATCAAAACAGGATATGATGTCATAATACAGGTATTCCTTTAGCTCTCGGTGTGTTATGGCTTCTGGGTATTTGTTATTGTGCAACATGGGTGGCAGTTGTTCTTCGGACCAGTTCAACAGTTTGGCATACAGGATGAGTGTGTAACCAGCTTCTGTGAAGTTGTCGCATTCCATGTGTAAATCGTGTAACTTGTGAAGGTAGCGGATATACATTTCTTGTCTGTTGATGGCATGATAGAAATCCAACAGGTTGACAATGCAGCTCATACGATGTTCCTTAACTTCATCCTTCATAATGAGCCTGTATTCTAACAGTCGTTGCAATAGCTTTTGAATCATTTCCACAAAAGATAAGCCTTGCTCTCTCATGGTTGAGTGTCCATCACACTTATTGTAAAGGATTTCATACATTAGTTCTTGATACTCTGGATCTCCCCGTCCTTCTTCCACTAAAACATCCAGCTGTGTGATCATTTCATTTTCAACAAAGTTAAAATTCCCCTGGATTCGATTTGATTTGGGGATTGGTTGCCCAAATTCACACTGCATCATGTCAAAGAAGATTGGTATAGTCGCTTTCCTGAGCTCTGTTTCTGGAATGAGCGTGACTTCTAGAATTGGTCCAACTAAATCAGGAATGAAGTGAATTTTGTTGGGACCAAGATTAAACCACATGGATCGAATCTCAAACCCTGCTTCTCTTCTCATATCTTTGTATTTTGTGACTATTTTGTTTCTTTTTGTTTGGGTGAATCGCTCCAGTTGCAGGGCATCTTGAGTCAAGAAGTCTTTGGCACAGTGGAAGAAATTATTCCACAACTGTTGTTCGAAAGGATTTGAAAATTTATCATGGATTGTATTGGCAAAGAATCGCAATGCTCGTAAGATGATGCTATTCTGAATCATTACCATTTCAACCCAATCTCTGGGAAAGACATTGTGGCCAAACAAGTCCTGAAACACCATCAAAATTTCCATCAGAAAGTCTAGGAGGTCAAAGGTTGTTGGGAAGCTTTCAATATAACTCAGGTAGTGATTTTCACTCATCTGGCGTAAAATACTTAACATAACTGACACACATTTTCCAACAGCCGTTGACTTTCTATCCATTCCAATAACTGTCTGTATGACTGTCCTTAAGATGGATTTTGTGACAATAGTAAGATCACTATCATGGATCCCTGTTTCTGGTAGATAAAGGCAATGCATGATATCACTTAGAACATCAACACATGCTTCTATCTCAACATTCTTTTCCATCATTTCTTTTGTGTGTTGAAAGATGGCTTTGATCAACACCTGGCGACATTCAGCTCTTTTAAACAAATCTGTGTGGATAAGATCATCGATACATTTCATCTTTTGTCTGGCAAGACGATCTTTAGGAACATTAGCGATAAACTGGACCATAATTGTTGCAAGTTCTACTGGATCGAAAACTGTGATGACATCTGCCACTATAGAACTGATGTACTTCAAAGCAGCACCTTGGACTAGGAGAGTTTGGTCACTAGTGTACATCATCATACCATTTATGGACAACAGAAGCTGCTTAAGTGTCATCTCAAACTGTTGCTTTCCTCGGCCTTCATTAATCATGGCGAAGAGTAGTCTTGATTTAATCACAAACTTCAAAATGTACTCCAAGGATTTCATGGCTCGAAGAAGAGGTTGTTCATGATCTGATTTTTCATTAGCATTGTCTACATAATACTTGAGAATGGCCATAAGTTTGTTGTAGGCCATTGCAAAACTGAAGTTGGAATCAATGTAAGCATCCAAAACTGGTCTAAACTGATGATATTTTCTGTCTGATATTAGAGCAATGATGTAAACAAGTGCATCAAATACCAGATTGTCACAAAGTTCGGAATTTGTGTTCTGCATTAGGATGTTAAAAAGAGAGTCCAATAAATCTTGTAAAAATTTAACAATTTCTTCTCCTTCTTCTTTCATTAGATGTTCTAAATGTCTTTGGAGAGATTTTGTGTCAGATAAGACTTCCTGCCACTTCAATAAACCGAGCAGATCCAGGTTATTTGTCAACTTTGTCGAGCAAACATACGTTTCCATTGTAAAACTATCTTTACTGTTGTATACAATGCTTCCTGATTTTGACTGTACATGAATCTTACCCGAGGGATGATTGGCATAACGATGCTCCAGCTCTTTTTTATTTGTGGGTAAATTCAAATATCCACGATCTTCATGCTTCTTACACTCTAATTTGTACACAAGAAGCTCATGAACACAATCCTCCATAGTTGTTCCATTTTCATTCATCAATCTGATGTAAGACATCGCAAAAGGTTTTTCAGATCTGTCCTTTGCTTCAGCTGATGATCTATGCTTGAATAGGAATTTAAGGTGAAGCCCGCGAAACTCTTCTTCAGTAGAACTGATGGTGACTTTGAGTGTTTCATGCCATTTTGGTTTGTCTTCATGATAGTAGACCATGGACTTGTATTCACCGCACATCTCGTCACCACAACCATGGCTAATGACCTGTTGTAGAGCATCTCCTCGGCTATTACAAACCAAGACAGTAACTTCTACATTACGATCAGTCGTCTTTGTTGCACTCTTGTAAAATTCTCCACTCATGATTGTTATGTAGATATCATTACGTACATCCCCTGGCATGATAACTTCTGGGAAACCAATCTTGCGTGCAAATGTACATCCTTGACTAATGACATGGGGATAGTCCTCCTGCACCTGCTTGAGGTCCCCAGATAACACTTTCATCGAAACCCAGATTCCCTGACCCTTATGATTAATATCCTTTGCCACAATTACTTTTTTAGTCACCGTTTCCATAAATTCTTCCCCACATTGTTGAAATGGAATAAAATGCTGTTGATCTTCGTTGTATTCCTTTGTCCCCTGAATTAGTTCAGATATATCCATTGCTGCTACTCCAAATGGTCTTCTTATTCGCTGTGTATTTTTAGGATTTTGGGCTTTAGTGTCCATTACCCCAATACGAATGATTTGAAAAACTAAAAATACTTTTTCACGAAGTCTGTCTTTTGTTCCCAGATCAGTGAAGACAACTTTAAAATTATTCAACATATCAATGTCTTTTGGTACTCCTTCCTTTGTCCATTTTACAATATAATTTTCACTAATGAATTTTCCTTCCTTAGAGTCATATAAATTCATTAAAATATCAGCATCTTCTCCGATCTTAACAACAAAGTTTCGTAACATCACAAAGAGATTAAAAGTACTTGGCCAGGCAAATTTTGATTCGCTTTCAACTTCAATACCTGAAGATTCTAATTTGATATTTTTAATAGTTTCTGCAGCAGTCACATGTCGACGATACACTTCAATAATACTTGTATGATCTAAATTAAGCATATTTCCGAAATTGTCCCTTACTACCAAATCACGGTTTAATAAAGCATTTCCATAGTCTATTTTCATTGTTACCTGTTGTTGTAAGGCTCCAAGTTCATCTATTGTTAGTTTACGTGAGAGGGCTTTCTGTCGCCATGCGAACAGATCTGTCAGCATGTCTTTTACACGGTCAAAGTCTTTACCTCGTATGACATACAACATTTTCCAAATGTCATTCCATTCCTTTAAAACCGATGAGATTTCTTGAGCCACCAATGGTTCTTTAGGCGTGATAATTTCCATGCCTCCATGCATCTCTGACACACATTCCTTGACACAGACATAAGATTTTGGGAAAATTCCATGTAATCGCTTGTTTTTAATCGCAAAACCTCTGTACCATTCTTCACATTCTTCAATAATTTGGACGGCATCTCCGACATCCAACTGAAGTTTGTGATCTCCGGCGCCATTATAATTATAAATGGCGACACAAAGTTTGGTCTTTGCGTCTGTTTTTCTCCAGACCGTCATTTTACAAGTCTAACATTCCAGTGTCAATACTATATGGTGACTAATTGTAGTTATCACATCAAAAACCCTGCCCTTCTCTTCGGAAGGAAACCATTACAAAGTCACGTGATAGCTGTCAAGTATTAGCGTACTGGTAATCTAAACTCTCGACCCGGAACAAACCATTAACTACAAAATTTGAATGCATACGTTTGATTGATTGGGTGTTAAAAGTGGGTACCCGTTTAAAGTTGCTTTTTATTCTTTAAAAAATATCTGTAATGTTTTGACACATAAGCCTACGATTTACGGTAGCACGATTTACCCAAATCCATCTAATATCCATATCCACCATAATTATTTCAACTCATTATACTCATATAATACGAGGTAATAATTTATATCTGTATTTGATAATGTCATGGACCTTATAATAAGGTCCATGATAATATACAGTTCTTTATGCAAAATTGTCATTTTAATTTAAAATCGTAACGTTTTTGTTTCAAAAAATGTCTCTGACAACTCCAAACAAAGACCACTCGGACCAATTATTATTTGATAGACCACTCGGACCAATAAAAAAGACCAATTCGGACCAACAAAAAAGACCACTCGGACCAAACAAAAAGATTGCTCGGATTTCGGACCAATAATAAAGTGTTGCTTTAATAAATTGATAATTGTGTTTGTTTTAATATACATCTATTTTCTTTGAAATAATAAAGTGTTGCGTACTCACCCGTGTTATTTCTCATCATGAACAAGCACATCAAAGAAAATCAATTAAAGATACATTATTGGAGATTCGATAACGAGTTGGCAGTTCTCACTATAATTGTTAAAAACTAGATAATGTAAAGGCAATTTGCTGAAAATTTCATTCAAATTGATCCACTATGAACCGAGAGCTAAGCGGTTGAAATTTCCGCCTAGCCTCGAGCATCATTACTAAAGTCAGTGCGATAAACATCATAGTCTCGATTATCCACTTAATCGTTAAATCTTGAAGGAAAGTTATGCAGTAAATCGGCTCATAATCTACTAAAGATCGCAGGCTAGCATAACCATCTAGGGTTGATTATGGTCTGGATAGGTTAATTAATGTCTAATTAATAATTTAGATAACATTGCAGGCCTAAAGAAAGACCTGCAATAGACAGATTTGGCTCTTGCATAATGTATGTTTAACAAAACATCGTCAATTGAGTAGTGTTTAATTCCTATGTACATGAATACTCACTCGTGTTACAAGCTAATCAAATTGATGAAGCACATCAAAGAAAAACAATCCAATTTTAATTGGAGTGATTGGAATAATGTCAAAGCGCTGATATTGTATATAGACACTTAAATGTATACTATTGTCACTTGTCTACGATATCACCTTAGGAACGCACGCACGCACGTACTATTGTCATCATTCACCATTCAAGAGAGAAAGAGAGAGAGAAATGGGGTTTAGCAGTGGGAGGAAACCGGAGGACCCGGAGAAAACGCGCGCGCGTGCTAACCATTCGGCCATCCAACCCCCCGCCACCATTCAAAGAGCAGTCATGTGTCAGACTCCCTTCATGAATTGAACAGCATTGTTAAAACCAAGATTAAATCAGAATGGAAGACTGAGTTGGCAAGGGCAAATACTTTTAGATTCAAATTAAAGATACATTATGGGGGACTTTAATAGAGATTTGGCCATTCTTGCTATAACAGTTCAAAAATAGATGATGAAAGAAGAAAATATTCAAAATTACAGTCAAATTACTTTATTCTGAACAAAGTTATCACCATTGTAATTTTTGACTAAAAATATGAGTCAACTCTCTCTCTTCACCGACTCCGTCTTCTTGTTAGCTGCGTGTACTCTTGTACTGTAACTGGTAGGCCTACGTAACTCCCGAAGCAGACAGATAGGTAACAGTGATCCAATGGGGCTAAGATTCAACTGGGGTGATGTTAGCTTCGATGTTTATCAATTTCCATTATTTTTCTGTAAACGTAAGTGACAAAAGAGCGTATAATACCAACACCCAAACTCTTATTTTAACCACAACTAAACATAATAGCAAGGCCGTATATATCGAACTTTCAATCAAACTGCCTCGCTCAACAGCGGCCTCGCTTCGTACACTCTATCATTTAGACTCGATCTAAAATTTCCGGGAGTATGACGTCAACGTAACGGTTAATCTCCGCTTACGACGCCATTTAAAAATTTAATCAATCAATGAAATCCTGTTTAAATCCAAGCCGAATCCAAGCCATCCGTGGGTCTACAGAGTTGATTTTGTGCTTGTTGTTTAAATAAAGATCTAATTTATAATTTCTATGACATCTGAAGCCTAAATAAAGACTTGCAATAATCAGATTTAGCTCTAGCATAATGTGTGTTTAAATAACGATCTGGTTGTAAAGGCTGCTAGGTCAATCACCCATCTCGCAAAATTTGTGGCTTAATCACAAGATTGAGAACTAAAGATTTAATTACCAACCATAAAAATAAACCAGTGAAACGCGAATGCGGCCACACTCTGACCGTTAATCATGTCGTCATTGCGTGCAATAAATTGGAAGAGAAAAGACTCCCAGTAAGAGGTTTAATGGAAGATGCCAAACTTCAATATACCCTCCAAAATATACTCTTCCCACCTCGGAATATGTCATACAAAATCTATGAAGCGATCTCAAAATTCATAGCAGAATCGGGAATTATGTAACACTATCTTAGTGGTAGAGATCAGTTTAGTAAATATATTATTTATTTACATCAGGTATATAAAAAAGGTACAGGTAAGAGGTTTAATGGAAGATGCTAAACTTCAATATACACTCAAAAATATACTCTTCCCACCTCGGAATATGTCATGCAAAATCTATGAAGCGATCTCAAAATTCATAGCAGAATCGGGAATTATGTAACACTATCTTAGTGGTAACAGAGATCAGTTTAGTAAATATATTATTTATTTACATCGGGTATATAAAACAGGTACAGTCACAACAACAATACGGGAACTTAAGCTATAGAGGAACACATATAACTATATTAAATCCATCAACCTGCCCTTCTGCCAAGGCAGCGGCTGAACTCGGGTGATTCCATGCGCCGGTCTCTCCATCTGCGCTCGTCTCTAGTGGTCTTTAGTCGCCTGCCTAACTGTCAGTAAACTCCTGGTTATATAGCGCCGGAGAATAGATAAGACACATGGTCATACATGCAACTGTCTTGTTTATCTCGTCATGGCATGCTTACTGACCAGTGCATATTCCTTTGAAGTCATGTGGAGCTTGTACACAGATCATGTAGTTTGTAAATGACATATGGGATTAATTACATGTTTAATTAGATCATAGTCAATCCGTGCCTTAACAGAAGTTTATACAGAGTTGAAACCTCAATATCATATATTATCAAAAACTAGCAGAGGTCATAAAGTTCTAAGCACCTAAATGATCGTTCAATTTGATGAAAGTTATAGAGTACTTTGTCACAATTAACTGTTAAGTTAGTTGCGAAAAAGAGCACTAATCATGGAACATAACTGTTGTATAGACTAGGTTGGCGGCCAAGCCAGCTGCATGCTTTAATAATATCAGAATAAATTGACATCAAGATAGGGAACTGCATATCTAGTTACAAAGGAAGGAATTATTGTTGTAGGACAGTATGGCGGTTCAGTCTACTGTATGATTTAATATAATAATAAATTAGGGAAAATAATGAAAAAAAGAATATGGACCCACACAACCATTATTATCAATGACAGTGCATATCAATCAATTTAATTTAATTTATGTCTAAAAATTTAATGCCATGTATTATTTCTTTAAATGTTTTAATTTGCTTAAATTGCTTTGTTCTGGGTTGCTGCTGACTCTTCTTTCTCTTTTCAGGTAACTTTTATCTGGTGAGAGTCATACGCAAGAAAACCCCTAACTTTTAATCGCTTACGCTGTGAACCGCATTAAAGGACTTTTAATTAACTTTTAACCATATGGAACTTATTGGACGAACAGTTTTTAATATGTAAATAATCCACGGGTCCAGCTATGTGGTTTTTACTGCGAGCACCTCGCTTTTCCACATAACGCAAGCGGATTCTTTTTCCCCGCGGTTTTTTTTTCTATCCGCACTGATGACGCCAAACATCAGTCAGCTGGACCTCCTGTTTTAACCTGTTTTTATTATGACAAAGAGAGAAGATGACCCACCCTCTCTTCTCGCGACAATGATTTTATAAGTGTGTTTTATGGTGACTGATTTACAAGGACTTCTTTATTTTGAATTTTTCTTTACCAATTATCAACCCTTTAAGTGTAAATAATTTAATCAAATCAACCTGTCCATAATAACATGTATTGGACGTTAAATCTGTAATAAACAACAACAAACAACATTCTTCATTACCATTTGCCAACATGTCAGATACGTGTATAGTTTGTGATTCCTTGCAAATAAAAATGGTGTTCAAGGGCAAGTTAAAGCGTTACCAGAAATGGCAGGCCCGATCAATGCAAGGCAAACTTTTTATCCTCTGGAAATCGTATAATGAGCGAGTAGATGAACCGTATCTCACATTAAGTAACGAAGGCATTTTATGTATGTTACTTACCTGTAAATTATGGCTATGATATTGTTAAAGGGACAATAACACTCTTGCTGGCTTGACAGCTCCAGAAAATAAAAAAAATAGCCTTATTCTAAGTATTAGATGTGTTAGTGTCCTACCTGTTGTGTAAATTATCCATTAAATCCTATTTTACTTGTCCAAAAGGTTTAAAAATATTTTTAAATCCAAGTCACATTTGAAAAGCTTTACGTCAGGCTTTTCAAATCATTTAGTTGAATTTTTCCAATTTTTTAAATTAGTTGTGTTAAGATGAAATTTATATCACCAATTAATTGGAATATTGTAAAATAGTACAATTTGTTGACCAGAATAAAGATTGGGGCATATTATTCAGTTACAACAAGAGTGGTATTGAGCCTTTAAGTAGCTGTTACCGCGATTACTATGCTTTCATAATAAATAAATAACAATATATTTATTGTCAGTATTTTATTTTTAAAATGTCGGCTATCGTTTCTGTGAACATCGTGCTGAAAGAAGTTCTCTGAAATGGCGTCGAGTCATGCTAAATATTGGTCCGAGTGGTCTTGTAATATAAAATAATTGGTCTTTTTGTGTTGGTCCGAGTAGTCTCTTTTTAGGGCCGAGTGACTCTTTTTTTTTAGATCCGACTTGGCTCTATATCGAGTTAAGTCTCTTGCTAACAACTTAAAAACTTGCTTGGAAATCGCATGGATGTGACACAAAAACCTTACGATTATAATTTCAAATGACAATTTAGCATAAAAAATTGTATATTATTATGAAATATCGATATAAATTATTGTGATATGAGTTAAATTAATGGAGCTATGGACATAACTGCCAAAACAATTTGGTCGTAAACATAAAAAAAAAAACAGATTATCGCATAAACGCCTCGACCGGTATGGTGGGTTTTCATCCCATACTCTGATCAGTGTAATTTTATCAAAGCAATCTCCTAATATATTATCCCCCCCACTCCTCACCACCACCACCACCACCACCTATTATTTCCATTATACCAGATATAGGCGGTACTCGGCTGATTCCGATCAGATTCTTCGTTGTTAAAGTCGATTCGGATCATTATTTGAATGACGAGAGTATTCAAAATATTTTTGCATATAATTATTATTACGGGATATTGCCATTTAGTGTCAACAATTCATGGGACAGGCAATTGGCAGCTAAGACCACAAGTCCTGAACTGTGAGCTTAATGTGTGGAAGCAAAAATGCTGATTTCTGGTGCGTAAAGCCCAAAGAAACATCTGGCAAAAAACAGGAAGGTGCACAGAAAAAAAACTTCGTTGAATAAAACTGATTATTACACAAGTATTTTATTTAGATTATATCATGACGATGTGCTTTTATTTACATCAAAAAATAATAATTTCAATCGCAGACAACACAGAATACTTCACAGTTAATTTGCATTCCTTTACAAACATGATTTTTTGCCATTTTGAATTTTTTGTATGTATATATTTTACTTGCAAAAAAAAAAAAAAATCTTATCGCATGAACTTATTTTAGTATCCTACTTTTATGTTGCGTAACGTAATATATAGAATATGGCTTTGTCTAAATTCCATGCGACAATAACTATTGCGGGGACATCTGTAATAACTTTTGGTTATTGCTACCCCCCATACGCGTACCGACAACGTAGGACTATAGACATCTCCCCCCTCCCCCCCCCCCCCCAAAAAAAAAGTATAACATTTGGAAAGTTTCCTGGCGCGAATCGTGATGGTGGGAACCTATATAGCTTTAAGACGGTTGTATTAACATCTTCTATTTCTGTGTAACTGTTGTAACGCCTGACTAGTTTGCAATAACAAAATGAATAGTCAGACCTTGTATGCTATCACATGTGTAAAAGTAAAATAAATATTTGAGTAACGCCATAATGAAGACGGTGTGTGAAATTGTATACTTATGTATAACATCAATGATAAATAAATTCTTTATACATTTGGATTATGGCGTGACCAGAAACCTTTGATGAAGGTGTTTCATGTTTCACCGGTGTCACCTTACCAAGATAAATCTAGAAATATGATATAAATTCATACATAAAATGGTCCGTGACGCATACGCATACGAGTTCGATGAATGTTTGAAAATTTAACTGCCGCAAACGCGTTTTCCTGCTATTCCTGCCCGTGAATACAGCAACTTCAATGTGGTCCAATATAGCCTACCTTATAAGGTGATTTGCCTAAATCCTAAATCCCAAACAACCAATCAATCGCCGTGGGGTATGGGGGACTCGCGCTCCCCGAGAAAATTTTGAAAATTCAACCGCCGCAAATGCGTTTTTGTGCTATTCTAGCCCCTGAATTAAGCAACTTCAAAGTTTCCAATCGGGTTGCAACCGAAATCCCACTCTATGCCGACCATCCAATCATACTGTTGCAGCTGCATTCACAAATAATAATCGATGCCCGAAAAATGTTGCACAAAGTAGAGTGGCTTCAGACAAAATGCTTTAATCCATAGTAAATTCAGTACAAATTCGTGGTATTCAATTAAAAGAAAAGTAAAATTATTTTTATTAGACTTCGGACACTTTATTTTGCCAAATAGATGAAATAATATTTTTTTTCACTTTACCCGTCTGCCCGAAAAGTCAGATTGACCGACAGTTATTTTGGAGTTATTGGGTGTTATTGGGTAGTTATTGGGTGTTATTGGATAATTCGACGTGTCCCTTACCACATGTGTTTAGAGATGGTTCAAATACCGTGTCTTCCGTCTTGCTCCAACCACACGACAAGTTGCAGTAAGTAAGCTGGTACAATATTACCACACTGATCCGCAGTGAATATTTGCTAGGCCGCTACAATCACTGATAAGGATGACATCGATGCGGCTTAATAAGCCAGTAATATTAACTTTTTTCCTGCGACAAATTAAATTCTAAAACATTTTTTTTATGTATTGGAAAAATAAATAAAGGCGTTTGACGTATTTGTAGGTAAAAATTATTTCCTATTTAGTGTAAATGGGTATTAAAATGACTAAAATGCAGCATTCTCTCCGAAGCAGTAACGTCTTATGTAAACAATGCACGCGCCATTCAGCCAATGATTGACGCCGCGTGCTGTGACGGCACGTGTTAAGGCAGTCATCTTTGACAGAGATATATTACTAGACTCGTAATTCTCTGTGAAACAGATTACAATTACATGTGGTAGTAGAACTAACTAATGTGGTTGTAGCCATGGTCATATTTAATTTTCGCATACGGTTTGAGAAATTGTCTTTCTATGTTATGTTGAATCGACTTACTATTAAACATACATTATGCAAGAGCTAAATCTGACTATTGCGGGTCTTTCTTTGGGCCTAAAATGTTAAATAAACTATTAATTTATAGACATTAAATTAACATGAAAAAACCTTAATCAACTTTCGATGCGGTCTTATGTGTTGGATTTTCTCTGGGTTTGAATCATATTTGCTGCTCAACGCTCATTGATGATTTAATCCAAAACTGGATAATCGAGACTATGGTTGTTTTTTTTTTATCGTACCTACCTACTTTAGTAATGATGATCGAGGCTATACCTAAAATTCAAATGCCAATATCTCGGTTCATAGGGGGGCGATTTGACTGGAATTCTCAGCATATTCCTTTTACATTATCTAACATGTAACTATTATCTTTACATTTTAACTATTATAGTGAGAACTGCCTCCGTTTACAACAATGTTAGTAGAAGGTAAAATTGGAGGTTTCCTTTTTTTGCCTTATGATTCATTCTGTTATGCCAACTTTCAACATCGTTATTAAAACAAATAAAACTAGCGCTTATATTTGTTGGGATGAGTTGTCTTATATCTCGATCCATGTTTTAAAGTTGGGATGAGTTGTCTTGTATTGGGATGAGTTGTCTTGAGATGAGTTGTCTTTGGGATGAGTTGTCTGTATACCGTTGTAATGATCCCTATGTCGTTAAAGATACAACCGGAAAGAGGGAAATCCGAACTTGAAGGCGAAGAAAATTCTGGACGAGTCGAGTGCACATGTTACCAGCAGAATTATTGTAGTTGAAAGAAAAGTACTGCTACTGTGAATTTTAATTCTCTAGTTTAAACCTATAATTATCATCTCTTTACGATACAATGGCAGCAGTTGAAGAGGTACACATTTTTATTTGAAATGCCTTACAAAATTTGTAAGATAATTCAGAAAAAGCTGATCAGAAAACTTAAAATCACAAACCAGACAATGTCACAATGCGGAAAACGAAACTAACTTATTAGGTAACGTCATTTGATTTTACAAATAACACATTTAGTCTTAATAATTATTGATGTAAGATAAACCGTACGTATGACTCTATTTTTTGAAACCTTGAAATGGACCAAACTGCAACTGGTTATAAAAGCACATAATAATGAATGTGTGTAAATTTAAGTGATTTAATTTATATTCAATTTTTGAAAAAAATATTGTAATTCCTAATCAATTATGTTTGGTAAAATATGTGAACAGTTCAAATTGAAAGGCAGTCGTTTACGCCTGCTTTAATAGTGCCTTCCTACAAGTTTTTTTTAAAATTTATTAAATTGTCGTTTGTGAATCAGCCTTTACTAATTACTTCCACATTGTGTTGTAGGATATGTTTTTATTTGTTCATTACAAATGGCACCTGAAACCATAGGGTAAGGTACACAACTTGTGTACTGATTATAAAATGTTAAAGGGGCATTATGGAAGATTAGAAAGAGCTGGCAGTTTTCACTATAACTATAATAGTTAAAAACTAGATAAGGTAAAGGGAATATGCTAAAAATTTCAGTCAAATTGCTCTACTCAGAACCAAGATATTAGCATTTAAACTTTAGGCCTAGCCTTGATCATCATTACTAAAGTCGGTACAATAAAAAACATAGTCTTGATTATCCATTTTTGGATTAAATCACTAATGAGCATTGAGCAGCAATTCAGATTCAAATGCAGTGAAAATCTGACACAGAAGATGGCATCAAGAGTTGATTAAGGTATTTAATGTTAATAAATGTCTAATTAATAGTGTTATTATACAGGTAACATTTCAGGCCCAAAGAAAGACCTCCAATAGGCAGATTTAGCTCTTGCATAATGTATGTTTGATTGTGTCTTAAATATTAGATATTAGGATCCTATAGTTTCAAGGCAAGATAACAGCATCAATATTGCTTGAATTGAAATTGATCAATTCTAATTCAATCAATATTGAATTCTAATTTAATACATGTATAAGGACTATATCATTTTCATTGTTAATATTTTAAAAAGTAAGGATAAAATCTAACATATCGGCTATAAATGCAGACATTGCCAAAATTCAGAATGCGGGAATGTTTACAGAAGCATGAATGAAGTGATGCCACATGACATCACAACCATTCGTGATCTGTTTTCGAAAAAAAAGTTAAGAAAAAACGTACGTCGGCCTTTGTGAAACTGGCGTAAATGATTCTTATCTTTTTCGTAAGATATTTTAAGGTAAGATAGAAAGTTTTGTGAAACTGTTCCCAGGTCTTTATTTTAGTAACTTTATTTCCCGTAGGGATTGGTCTGAGACTAGTATCCGAACAAATCATGTTCATGCTAAATCATCACCCAGTTGTTGTATTATTATTAGAGTGTTGTGTCATTCACATTACATAATGACTCCTGCATTATTATCTTTAATTATGGTTTTTCATTGAAATATCTTGTAAAATACAATGTTTTAGGTTTTCTATTAAGGATCTTTAATAAAACTACAAATTTAGTTTGAATTTAATTTTATGTCTTTCAGTTAAGAAAAGATCTAGAAGAGTTGGAGAAATTCAATAATGAAGCAACACGGCAAAAGGTTAAAAATATTCTTTCAGTTGAAATAAGAAAACTTGAAACAGAGATAAAGAATAAAACTGAAGCCTCCTTATTAGAAGCTAAATCAATAACAGTTGCCTCAGATTCTAAACGAAGACTTCACAGAGAAAAAATTACAAAATATGGTATGTTGACAGCAGTATTTTATCTTGCATCATTTATTAAGTACATGTAAATGGGTTGTGACTTGTCTAATCAATATTTTGTCGAGTTGACGTTAAACCCCATTGGTTTCTCTCTCACTCCACTCTAGCTTTCTGGCAGTCTTTGCTTTTGAGCATTTACAACTAACTACATTTAGCTACTGATGTTTTAATCGACAGTGCAACACTAACAGTATCTACATGTATCCATCAAAACACAGCATAGACAATCTAAAATGTCAAAGATACTGCCAAGGCTTCCCGCAGTCACAATTAATAATAATATTGCGGTCTGGTTAGAAATTACCAAACATTAAGTGCAGGAGGGATCGCACCACATGTATCTACCAAATATAAACCGAAGACAAAACATACAGACATTGTAAGTAATAAATAATTGAGTGATTGGATCGAATAGGTGAACATTAGCGTCCACTGCACAGTACAGTCGAAGACCTGAAATGATGCAAGCTTACAAGGGAGGCAACCCAAAACGCATGGTAAAGGAATATACGCTTTTTCCAAACATTCTAATGTTCATGACCCGCTGAAATCAAATGTTTAGTACCTTAAAGAAAATGATTTAGATCTATTCAATTAGTAGGAATGTGAAGCTCAAAACAAGGGATAAACAAAAAATTGGAAGTAAGACATTTTTATATACATGTACACCCACATTTTCATGTGGACGTATTATGGCGTCGCCCCTGTCTGTCCAGACGTCAGTCCGTCCACAGCAGGGCTTGGGTAATGGGTAATGGTAATCTTATGTAATCATTACATTTTTTAAGTAACGGTCAGGTAATGAGTAATGGAAGATTTCAAAAGTAATGAGTAATGGGAATGTAATTAATTACATTCCAAAAATCATGTAATGGTCAATTACATTTCAATAATTACATTTTATGGCATATATAAATATTTCCAATATGACAAGCCTCAAATTTTATAGCACCAAAGAAGTAATTAAGTGTATCTAACACCAATCCAATTCATTATAATTCTAAAAAAAAGATTTAAATCAGTTTTGAAAAATAAGAAGGCATTAAACATTTTCTTTTATTACTTTTTATGAAGGAACCTTTTTTAGACATGTAACCCCTAAGAAGTGGATTTCTGATAAGATGTATATTATAATCAAAGATTAGTACTAATTTTCAGCCAATCACTCAGTCAATCAATCGGGGACATCTCACTGTGCCCCCTGCTATTGTTCTCATAGGGGATTAATCAAGCAAGGGGATTATTGAATACAATGGTGTTAAAAGTATAGTCTGTTTTTTTAAACTACAAGGTTTAAACTAATTAACAACTTTATTCACAATAAATTTCATTAAAGTAACAACAAATACATGTATCAAACATAAATCATAACCCTACTAAATGTGATATGGCGTCAGTATATTCAATTGCACTTTTTACTCCATTTAACAGTTTGATTTTTAGATCATTAATAGATTCTTCTACTCTTTTATATTTTCGTCTTTTAGGGGGCAATCGTCCCCCGTTATCCAACTGAACTATTGTATTTTCAGTAAAAGTCTGCAGGTGCTATTGGGTTTCGTATATTTTACTCTGTACTTATACCCCAAATTAACTAAATTTTGACCTCCTTGAGAATTAGGAATAAACCCTATGCGAATTTTAGCCATTTTAAAAGATATAATGTAATTGGGGTGACAACTATCCTTATATAATGATAGTGAGTTTCAAATCATATATTTGATTGATTTATGAGTACTGTCTGAATGAAAGGTAGGTGAATAATATTTAAGATACTCGTTAACCGATGACACGTGAACTTAACTTATATATTTTAATCATTAAACTAATTAAATTTTAACTAGGTGAACAGTACTAATAAGGATACAGTCTATAATCCTTTGTTTACTTAAATTTTCACACCACTACCCTATAACACCAGTTGATTGGGGGGCACAGTGAGATTAAACCAATCAATCAGTCAGTTAGATTAAAACAATAAATAGTCTTATGGCACTTTAAGCTTAATCTCAAGGTAACAATTAGTGACAAACCAAACAATGACCTTCAAGTATCTCATCATTTTATGATTACTTAAAACTAATATTCTATATTTTGTTTTAGAGTCATGTTGAATAATTTACCAGTTATTATACAATATATTATAGAAAAACTATTTGGACTGATTAAATTTTTTGAAAAAATTACTTAAAAGAAAATACAGTTAATTAACTAAAGTTTTGATTAATTTTTCAAGTCATACGGTGAAAATGTCAGTTTTTGTCACCACTGCCCGTCACTATAAAATTTGCCTTGATGTTATAATAATTGCTAGAAATAATAATTCATAAACAAATATCTATTAAGTGAATCAAGGATTATTTTGAGTTTGATTTTGATTTTGTAGGTACTTCATGGCAGAAAAATAAGTTTTTTTTAAAATTTCTATCCAAAATTTTTTTTAATTATATAGTCATAAAGTAATGGGTAATGGTAATTAATTACTTTCAATGTAATGGGTAATGGTAATTAATTACAATGCTAAAAATGAGAAAGTAATTGTAATGATTACATTTAAAAAGTAATGGTAATGTAATTAATTACATTGGCAATGTAATGGCCCAAGCCCTGGTCCACAGTTTGTTTGTGACAGTCTACTGGTCACAATTTTTATCCCATTTTAACGAAATATAAGTCTATCTCCCAAAGATCTCAGTTCCTTTCGATATTGGCATGTATCGGACCAGAACTTCATGGATTGTGGCCCCTGATTGTACGAAAAATAATGTTTTTAGCTTGTGGACACTCTAGACGTCACAATTTTCATCTGATTTTGATGAAACTTGATATGCATGTTTATAACCCAAAGATCTTGGTTCCTTTTGATAGTCACACATATCCGATCGTAACTTCCTGCATTATGGCCCCTGATTGTACGAAAAATCAGGTTTTTAGCTTGTGGTTCCTCTACAGGTCACAATTATTATCCGATTTAAAAAAAAAACATTCTAATTTATCACCTTAGTACTATAATGTCAGCTTAGTTCGAATTTTTGTAAAAATCGGACCAAAACTGCCGGACAAAATGGCCTCCTCTCATATGCAAATAGTGTAAAAATATGGTATATAAGGTTGTGGACCCTCTAGAGGCCACAATTTTTGTCCAATTTTGGTGTTTGATGAAACTTTAAATTGAGGTTTATATCACAAAGATTTTGGTTTCTTTCAATAATTGCACATATCCGATCACAACTTCCTGGATTATGGCCACTAATTGTTCGAAAAGTCGCATTTTTAAAAAAAAAAACATTTGAATATATCACTGTTATATCCTAATGATAGTGGAGTCCGAAATTCGTGGAAATTGGACCCAAACAGCTCGACAAATGGTCGCCCCTCGTAAGCAAATAGTGGGGAAATATGGTTTATCAATGTTGTGGACCTTTTAGGGGCCACAATTTTGATCCGATTTTGATGAAACTGGAAATGTGTTTATAACCGAAAGATCATGGTTCATTTCGATATTCATGCATATCAGACTGTAACTTCCTGGATTATGGCCCCTGATTGTGCATGTACGAAAAATCGTGTTATAACCTGTGGCTTCTCTAGAGGTCACAATTTTTATCCGATTTTAAAAAGGTTTGAATATATCACCGTTACACCCTAATGATGGTTGAGTTCGAAATAAGTGAAAATCAGACTAAAACTATCGGACCAAAACTGCCGTACAAAGGGGTCGCTCTTTCGACACAAATTGTTTAAAAGTATGTAATACGAAGGTTGTGGACCCTCTAGGGGTCACAATTTTTATCTGATTTTGATGAAACTTAAAATAGATCTTTATATCCCAAGGATCTCAGTCCCTTTCGATATTTGCAAATTTCAGACCATAATATGGGCGTATCTTACATGGCAACTGCTGGTTAAGTTGTTAGATATATACAGTAATCTTGTTTTGCAGGATGGGATGAATCAGACAAGTTTATGAAACTCTATATAACATTCGATAATGTGCAGTCATTAGATAAAGATAATGTTAAATCAGAATTTACTGACAAGTAAGTGATTCAGTTTGGTATTCTGGAAAATTTATAATTTCTATTAATGCATTTATAAAGACCCAATATTTCAGAATAAACAATCCATGTAACTATAGCATAGTTTTCAACCTTTAAATTTCTTCAATGCCTCTGCATTACACCATTTAATTTTGAAAGTCTTTTGTATGTTTACAAGTTTAGTTAGTCCTGCTTGTGGATGCTCTAGAGGCTAAATTTAATATTCGATTAAGGTCATGAGATGAAGAAGCCCTTTTCAACAATTTCTGATATTTACTGGCAGAGTTATGGCCCTTGATGACTGAAAAATCTTGTGGTCGCTCTAGGGGCTAATGTTAAGATCATGAGACTAAGAGGTCTATTGCTTTTAACCCTTGTGCGGACAGGTCACACGAAAAACATTGTCAACAAGGGGTAATCTAAGACCCCAGATAAATTGGTATTTGGGTGCATAATTTTGATCAAACTACAGCCCCATATAACGGAATAATAATCAATCAGAGTAAAAAAAAAATTATTTGAGGTATTAACAGTGACGATATGAATTATAAGGTATTTTTGAAACCATACAAATCTGCAAATAACTTAATTGTCATTTCCATGTAGAATCTTCTTTTGATGAGGTTGGTACCTAGATGAGTACCTAGATTTGCTTTCAGATCTAGATTACTCGAATGACCAACACAATATCATCAGTAAGAAAAATTCCAAATACAAAGCTAGCGCAGAACAGCAAAAAGTTGAAAAGAAAGGGGAGGGGGTTCCAGAAGACCCCTTGTGTTTGATAATGTAGTACTCATAGTTTCTTGTCAAATGATGAATGTTGCCACTGCCTCACTTCCGTTCTATTTGCAGCATTATACTTGACATTGAGTAGCTGACAATGTATAAAATTTGCACGAGACAATTATGAACAAGTTGCTCACAAATCGCTGACTATTTATAACAAATATCGAATCCTAATTAAATTCTTGGATTATCCACTCCCCGCATCTTTTTCCGTGATTTTTATCTCAAAAAGTGTTGTACGTCTAACTCTTCATGAAGTTTATCAACATGGACACCAAGCGCTCAGTCTTCGCGTGCAACCTTCGACGTCACGCGTGCAGGTATTCCTAATCGTCGGGCTGTTGATTAGGGGAACCCTTACATTTTTGTCCTGTGTACGCTCCCATGTTTTTCAGGGAATCCAGTATTTTTCTAGTAAGATTGGATATCTCTACTTACCAAAATTGCCATACTTTTATTGGAAATAACCACCCGATAAATACTTTTCTGGGAACCTATCTTTAAGGATATGGTCATGGGGTCCCGAAATACCCCTTGTATATGCACAAGGGTTAACGATTTCCGATAATTACTGTAAGAGTTATGCCCCTTGATCACTTTGAAAAATCTCTTGGAAGCTCTAGGGGCTAAAATTAATATCTGATTGACTTTAAATTTGTACACATATTTTAGGTCATGCGACTCAGAAACCTATGGATTTTCAGTGATTTCAGAGTTATGGCCCTTGATATTAAATGTTTTGTATACTAAAGGTTCGCATAGGGCAGAACTAGAAGCCAAACAAATTCTAATTTCTGATAATGACTTGATGGGTTTTTACTCATAATCATATTTTAGTGTGTTGTAAATGTTTTCAATACTGTATTTCAGATCTATATATCTGAGCGTTGACGGTCTCAATAACAAGAATTATGAAGTACAAATTAACAATTTATGTGAAGAAATTGATGCTTCAAAAAGCTACCATAAGGTTTGTTTTGGTTTAGATGCATATTTTATGTAAGTTGTCTTTAATAGATAGTTGTGTGCTTCTTGCATGTAACCCAGGAAATCCTAGTCAAGAAGTCTGGAGGCTCATTTCATGAAGATGAAGCATATTTAAAGTAGCTAAGTCTCTAACTCAATATCATCAAAAATCTTCGACATTGAAAACACGAATTATTTGTCAATTTGGAACAAGGGACTCAAAGAACAAGGCTAGACATATTCCACAATTCTTATCTGGAGAGCATGTGCAATAAATACCATCGGTGTAGACTGGAATAACCAGACGCTAAAGATTGTCATTTAATTGAGACTTTGGCGCATTTCGCCGAACATAACTGATTAGAAATTACAGTAAAAACAGAAACGATTGAATGTAAATCAATTTATATACATTCATATTACATTATATGCGTTGCGACCCATTTGTGTCAATTTCTAGGTCCCAAATATTAGCGATTTAGCTCCTTTAAAGTTGTGTACACATAAATTAGAGTTGTAAAATCACATAAATTAGAGTTGTAAAATCACATAAATTAGAGTTGTAAAATCACATAAATTAGAGTTGTAAAATCACATAAATTAGAGTTGTAAAATGGTTAATTTACTTGAAAACCATTGGTGAAATGGAACCTAGTGCCCTTACCGCTTGACTACTCTGACTGAAGTATAATGCCATGGTTCATATTGAGTTTAATATGCACTCATATCTATCCCCTTCTGAAATTGAAGGTGTGTCTAGAATTATAATTATTTAGTGTATATTATTTTAGATCAAGTCAGACATGGTTCTAGTTATGTTGAAGAAGAAAAATGAAGGAAAAACCTGGTTCCATGTAACTGCTAGCGAAAAGAAAAAAGCAGAGAGTGCGAAGTAAGTCTTTACTTTATAGATACACTGTAGCAATATATTTCGGTGTTGAATACTCATTAAATGAGTTTTTAGCTCCCCTGTATGCATCTCCTGGTCCAGGGGACAGGAACAAGAATAAACTCAAAATCTGTGATAAAAACTCAAGGTCTTTAATCACCTGAGTCCACCCAAAGTTTCCTGACACACTCTCTTGAGGAACTAGTCCTATGGAAAGCTGGTAATTGAACTGAAAGTATGTACACACAACACAATTCTGTGGAATACAATTGCTGTTTATTACTGAGTGACGTTTGATAAAGACTAAAGAATCCTAGTAGAAATGTCACTCAGTAGTCCCAAGGAGTAACCTTATTGACTGAAATAAATGATTTAAAACTTGAATCAGCGTTTTCTTTTGTAGCTACTGTCGAGGCACCGAAAGCTCGTGGTGGAAATTTTTAAGAATAATTTTTCAAATTTTGTTCGATTGTTTGATTAATCATAAAAGATGATTAATCAGGTGGAAATTTTTAAAAAGTAATTTTTCAAATTTTGTTTGATTAATCATAAAAGATGGTTAATTAGGTGGAAATTTTTAAAAATAGTTTTTCAAATTTTGTTCGATTGTTTGTTTAATCATAAAAGATAAAACCTATTTTCCATCAGTCTTATGTGCAGATATTGTCCCTAACCCCTAAGATTTGAAAGCTGCTGGGTGTATGCTGTATATTCATTGTTACTGAATATCATTAATATTTGATTAATCTTAAAAGATGAAACCTATTTTCCATCAGTCTTATGTGCAGATATTGTCCCTAACCCCAAAGATTTGAAAGCTGCTAGGTGTTTGCTGTATATTCATTGTTACTGAATATCATTAAAAATTTTGATTCTTATTTAGGCCTAAGCCTGATGATAAAGATATGGAAGATCCACAAGCTGGTATGATGAGTTTACTGAAGAAGATGTATGAGGAAGGTGATGACGAAATGAAGCGAACCATAGCAAAATCTATGTCTGAATCACAGAATAAAAGCGGAATGATGATGTAACTTTAGAATTTGGAAAAATTTGTATACCCTGAATAAAAGGAGTGTAAATGTCAATTTTTCAATATTGCTTCATGTCCAAAAATTGTGATTATTTCATCATCACTGTAAAGCAAGAAATGTATGCGAACAAGATATTAAAACTACCATAAATGGGATATATTTACCAGCTTTCGAAGTAATAAAATTAATCAATAGTGATTATTTCAAGTCAGTCATATGACAATGTTAAATTTAAAAAGAGAGAGATGGGGTCTAATGTCAAATCAACACCAACTAGGTAAATTCGGGACAAACCTGGTATCCTCATTTCAATTTTTTGCCTGCAGAGAACCTTAGGTTAAACTGTTAGCAGTAAAATTCTTGACTTAAACAGATAAAATGTCTTGGTAATTGCTGTGCATGTTAGACGACTTAGAATTATAACCAGCATGTTCATGTGAAAAAGATTATGATACAGAGGGCTGGCATTAATTTAATTCATATACATTGTATATGTTAACATGTTTAGCTTTAATTTTAGGGCACATAAATTTCTTGTTGATATTGTCGTGGTGATCAGAGATTTCAATTTTATTTGTGAAGTTCAAGTGGCCAATACATACATCAATTAGTTGTTCTTTTTTATGTTATCTGTACTTTATTTATAGTACCTTTTAGAGTGGGAGTTGTATTCTAGATCAGAGATATCACTGTGATATTATAAAGGAGAATCACCAAATTTCACTTTCATGTCTGTATTGATAGTGCGTATTGTTGTGAATTATGAGAAAACAATATACATGTACGAGAATAATTCTGAGCAGCTATGGCCATGGGTAATAACTATTTGGAATACCACTGTATTGATATTTAACTGCAACACTTGTTTCATTTCTAATTTTATTAAGTGATGGTGATCCTCATTAGAATATATCTTGTATCTTTTAATCATGCTGGAATCATGCTCCCACTTCTTTTATTCATCCTGTCAAACTGTCATTAATACATATGTAACCTATTGTGTATACTGTTGCTCATAATCTTAAATGTTTTATACACAAAATGTGGTAAATAGATTTTTATAAGGCTGACCTTAAAAATATCTTTGTTTCACCAAACCCGACCCACAATCGAGGAGAAGGGTCGGTAGGTCGGTTTTTTTTTCAGATTTTTTTTTAAAGTCAGAGAAATCAACACAGAAAACTTATTAGCTGTATACTACAGATTCATTAATTTTGTTTAATGAATTTGGGGTCTGACGTAAAAAGTAACGAACTGAAAGTTTTTATTAAACTTAAGAGCTAATTTGACAGCTTAATAATTTTCCGGGTGGAAACATTCGTCTTCTTTATTGGCAAACAAATCAATGACATCAGGATTTTTCGTGATGCCCGACTCGCATACGATTAGCCACGAACTTGAAGTGTGAAACTCCTTCAACACGTTTTTAACGATAGTGCGCGTTGTGCTTTTATTTTTCTCGAAAACGGATATTGAAAATATCGTCGTCATGTTTAAAACTACGCACCACAGACATAGAGGCAGAATTATTTCGTGGGAATGGACGTGTATTCGTCTGCAACCATTTTGTTGAGAAGCGACACCTATGACGCTTTCGTCTTGATCAACCAGTTTCAATAATGAATCAAACCATAGCCATAGTATAGGGAAATAACTCTCATGATATATTTCAGGTTGACACACAAAATAAAATAAAAAGATCGTGGAAAAGTGCAATAAAATAATTTAAGTCGGGGGTGGTTTTAGTTAGTCGGTCGCGTTAGGCGAAACAAAGATATTTTTAAGGTCAGCCTAAGTGTTCAATATTTTATGTGTTTCTGTATAAATAATAATAATGCTCCATCTAATTCGGGATTTTTTTTTTTTGAAGAGGCATTAGCACACTTACAAAAATTATTAAAAGAGTTAATCTTACATAACATCATATTCAGAATAAAACATAAACTGCAAAAATTTGCACTCATTTGGCAAATCTGCCTAAATTTTGCATACCATCTAATCTGAACAAATAAACTTGATGTAACTGTAAAGTCACATCTTCAAAAAGACAAAGTCTCTAAATTTCATGTGTATGCAGTTTGAATAATATATCAAATGTGCTTCAATGTGATAAATTTAAGTTGTATAACATGATTTTAGATACAGGAAAGTTTATGTAATTCAAGACTATCATACATTTTATGTTATTATGAAAAATGGTTGTTATATTATGTATTTATACCACAAAACCTCATGTCATCGATAACAAATCAAATCTGGGCAAAGACCTTTTTCACGTAATTTTCTTCCTTGGGGGAAGATATTCAAACAAAATTTTACAACTGTATGGCTGTTTGCCCACTTTGGGTGGATGCAAAAATCCTTGATTGATCCACTATTTGAATCAAAATAAGTGGTAAAAAAAAACTATCTTTCTGGTTAACTACATGTATAAATTGAAAATAGAATTAAAAAAACCCAAAAAACTGATGAATTTTGTCTTCCTTTGCTTTATTCAACAGTCTGATAAATATCAGCAAATGAACTCGTAATTACTGCTGCCATTATCTCAGTTCCCAAGATTTGTAGTGCGACTATACAGCAATTCTGTATTTCGTTCCCCCCCCCCTCCTTTGCATGACATTTTTGTCCCCCACCTTTCGAAGAAAATGGGGGATTATTAAAATGGGTTCGTCTGTGTGTCTGTCACATTTTTTGGGACACAATAACTCTCCTTCTAATTGAGCTCGAATGTTCAAACTTGGTGTAGGTGTTTATTTGGTCAATGCCTTGATGGAGTTCGAAGATGAGCATTTTCTGCTTAGGACAAGCAGAGATAAGCAATTTGATTGGTTGATGCTTTGGGACACGATAAATTTAGTTCTAATTAAGTGAGAGTGATGAAACTTGGTGTACAGTTTTGTTACATCAATACCTTGACTAAGTTCGATAATGAGCATTTTCTGCTCAGGGTAAGCAGAGCGATAAGCAATTTGATTGGTCAAGACTTTGGAGCATAACAACTCTGCTTTTAATTGAGGTAGAATGTTTAATTAGGTGAATGTCTTGTCTGAGTTCAATGATTAACATTTCGAGCTAAAGCTAAGCAGAGCTAAGCAATTTCATTGGTCAATGCTTAAGGACAAGATAACTTTGATTCTATCAGATAGGGTGTATAGTTGATTGCTTGATAGGCTACTTTTGAAAAAAATAAATGTGCGATAAATTAAAATGTGTCATCTATTTATTTTGGGATTTTGGTGAGGGACATCAGCCTCACTGTTGGCTTGTTCATTAACTTTTTCTAGATCGAAGGGTGGAAGGATGAGGAAGTAAACAGACATGAATAATGGTCATGACTCATTGTCTACTAAAAGGATGTTCCTGTCTACAGATTCCTTTGACCAGGCCTAGCAAAAAATCGAAATGGCCAAATCCCTTCTATATTATTATCAGATGGTTGTGAAACGTTAGGTCATTTGTGGTTATTAAAATTAAGATTATGGGAATGTCATGGAGTATCATTGAAGTCAATGTGGAGAGAATTAGTAGTCTGTGCCCAAAAAAAGTTAGTCTCGGTCACCCAAAACCTCCTAGTCTTCAACATATTCGTAGAATATTTTTTTGGATGATAGAGACTAAAATAAAGTGAGCTTAATACATGGAGTTGTCTCCCTTCGTTTATTTGGCTTTGGAAAACCCCTTTCGTGACGTCATAATTCGCCTTCAGAATTCAGCATGGCGACCACTTCAATGTTTCGACCTTGTGTCGGTCGAACAATTTTAGGGAGTTTTCGGTCGTTAATTGCAGTAAGTGAAGCCCCAAAAGATTCCACATTTATTTTTTAACTATCAGTTTGCAAATAATAGGAATTTGAAATAATGGCACCATTTACATTTACATTTTTCTCAGCTGCAAATTGTGCAAACTCCAATGGCAGTTACTCTAGTTAGCCTAGTCTAGTAGTACTACTACTACTACTACTACTCCTAGACCTAAGTAGAGATCGATATCAAGTAGCCTATACATAGGCAAATATTAATAACCAAGAGGTCTCTATTTCGATCCTTGGCTGAAAAAGTTTGGTTGGATTTTCCAGCCATGTTTTTCTGTCTCAGTGGTGCTAAGTCTAGGACAGCAGACAGTCCATTAACACGATTTACATTTAAAAATCCACCCAAATTTACCATTTATATGAACTTAAAAGATAATGATTTATATCCATATAACTGTTCTTTATGTAAAATTGTCATTGCTAATTTACAATGGTAATGTTTTTGTGTCAATATGCCCCACAAAATGCAATTTCCAAGCAAGTTTGGAAGTTGTTGTAAAGAAATCCACCATTATTTTAAATATGGCCATGGGCCTATGACAACAATTTATATTGATATCGATACTTGATAATTTTTAATTTAATATATCGTTCTTTAAGCCAAATTGGCATTTTAGATTAAAATCCTAACGATTTTTTTTCAAAAATGGCCCGCAAAATGCAGTTTCCAAGCAATACACAAGTTATGTCCCTTGGTTACACCTTCCAAACATGCTTGGAAATCAAAATGAAATGAAATGCGGTTTAACGTCCTACTGTTTTGCTCCGAACGGGGCTAATGAAGACGGGCATACGCCATACAGTGTGCTATGAGAGAAATCTTGCCCAGATAGAGGCACTACGACCTACTCTTATATTGAATTCCAACTGTCAAGGGATCTTTTACGTGCACGCCAATGTGTACACAGGACCTCGGTTTTCCGTCCCATCCAAATGACTAGACAGCTGTCGTTGTCAGGCCCTGCGTCCTGCATCACTGACAAGGGAGAAACACGCCGAAAAATCAGGGGATGAACATTCTCGGCCAGTGCAGGGATCGAACACCCGTCCTCTAGGCTAGTGAGCCAGCGTCTTACCCACTTAGCAAACTGTGATCCCGTGCTTGGAAATCACATTTTGAGGGGGCATTTTTGATACAAAAATGCTATGATATTTTATTACAAATTATTATGAGTTGAAATAATGATGGTTTGGCTAAATCATGCTATCTCAGAGGGTCTGGTATTGTAAGGACTAGGACACACTAGGAGCGTCTAATTGTTTGGAGAAGATGAAAAATCAAGGTCATGTGTACACATTTTATTGGCATGCATGTAAAAGAACAGTACCCTTGGCAGTTGGAATTTGATGAAGAGTGGGAAGAGATGCTGCTGTCAAGCAAAATTTATAATACTGTAGTACAGTACAGAATGCATCTTCATTAGCCCGTTGGTGCAGATAAGTAGACCATTAAACCCCATTTCATTTGTCAACCTAATGTTCTTTTGAAAGCTTTTTTACAGAGTACCTGGTTTGGCAGCAGTTGTAACCTTGACATTGTTAGACTTATTAATAATAACAATAATGTTGTAAAACATTATTCAAATAAACAAGGAATACCAAATCAAAGTTTTATACTAACGAGAACTTCTCTAGTTGACTGTTACATAATAAATCATTTCTTGGCAGTTATAGAGCAGGAATATAACTGATCGCATTTTCACATTCGCCCAATGATCAAGAAACTGAGCCAAACTGACAATCCAAAAATTACAATAGGTAATCCTATGGTGGTAGACAAAAGACACCTGAATTCCAGTTGATCTTTTACTTTAATGTTCTAAAAGAACATCAGTCAAAAATCAGACATTTTGGACTAGGGAAATAATTCTTTTAATCTCTTACAGCCATGTGGAAACAAACAAAAATATCATGAAACAACAGTTTTAAGCAAGGTAAGATAGTGTTAGAATTCAGTATACAATATGAATATGGATTGAACTAGTTGGCCTATATAGTAGATGTATGATGTGTTGATTTGTATAAATTACATATTTACTCATTATATAACCATATATACACTGTAGCATGTCATTTTACCTATTTAAAAAAGGGAATGGTCATGTCTGTATAGATCAACAGAAATCAATAAATTTTTCATTCATAGTCATATATACATCTTAATCTTTAAAACAGTAAGTGAATGCGTTGTTTGGATTAAAAATCTAACTACCAACCAATGGTTATTTAAGTAAAATAGCATAATTCATATTGCAGTATTTAAAGCATAATCATACATGTATTACTATTTGTACGGTGATCATCAAACGTTACTGTCTTATTATTTGAGCTTATCTTAAAGGTAATAATAATAATATAGTGACTTTTAGAATGCATGCCTGAAAATTAAATTTGATATTTTGTGAGTAAAATCTTTAATACACTATATAAATCTTAATTGATGGTCTAGTCTGACCCTTGGGCCTCTTATTTCAATTAGAACTCTTTGAAGATATCAGTATGTAAAGTAAATTAACTCTATTAGAACATAATGATATAAGTATAAATATGCTCATAAATATAAAAGATAATATATATCTTTAAGTATTCTGTAATCCACATCTCTCTTTAATACAATTCTATTATCTACTTCTGTCCTATTTAAAACTGTAGCCAGCTTTTGACAAGGTAAGTTAATGTCGTAGCAACAGGTGTTTAAGTCTAGCACACAGTCACACATCAACTTCGAAAAATAGAAAAATTTGTCTTGCATAGTCTTCGGTTTTGGCAATTGTTTTTAGTCTTAAATTTCTAAGTTTATTTAATTGTTGTTTTATCATGTTGGATGTTATGCCATGACTGCCCGTGATATGAAATTGTTATGGGTAAATAGTTATGTAGTTTTGTATTGTCTAAGCTTCAGTTGTTTGCCTCCATCCATTGGCCTTTTTGTCGCCTATATTGTAATGCAGTGTCATTTGAATGCATGTGTTATAATGTATGTCAAAATATATGGTTGGGTTTTTATTGAACCCACAATAAAGGCATGTTTTGCTTCATCACATACATGAAAGCAATGGTATTGAATGTTACATGCTGCAATCTGACTAAAAGTAGATCCTATTTTCTTTCACTTTGTATATTCAAATTTTATTTTATTTATAAATAAATGGTCAAGTTAGTATCACGCTTCAGTCAAGGTGTACACTGAGACATCTTCAAAGCAGTAGAATCTCTACTGTAGAGAACAAAACAAAACTTAAGATATAAATAGTTTGTATCATTCACTCAAAGTTTACCTATATTTTACCTCCCTCGCAAACCGTTCCGATCTATTTGATAGTATCATAGTTTGGCTCAGTAAAAGTATTTTAAAAAAAACCCTAAACAAACTGAAATTTCGATTTGTATGTTAATCGGATTGTAATTGTACCTACACATTTAGTGCATGTCTTTGCTATATTAGTTAGTTTTCAAGTAAAATTGGTAAATGATCTGGTTCTAATGCTCCACAATTCTTGTGATGACTGATACATAAAATAATGACTGAACGCTTTACACAGTGGTGGTCTTTACTGTCAAGATCTTGAAACTTGTCATATTTTCATATTTATAGAAATAACGTGTTTGATTTCTGCTCCTGGGGTCTAGTCTATGAGAAAAGGAAAAAGAATGAGCAATATGGTACAGTCTATTCTAACACAATAATACAAACACAGAAAAGAAAGAAATTGCGACCAAACTTAGTTAACATTCAAGAATTTCGTACTTATTGATAACTTTACTATTGCACTAGATGACGTAATTAACCTTGAGTTAACATATATTTACAGTGTTTATTAGAAATTGTTTATGTTTCTAGCCGGTAGCTGAACCAATATCTCATCCTGCTGGTCGTCATACCATCACCATGGTACCAGGAGATGGAGTAGGACCAGATTTAATGGCAAGTGTTCAGGAGGTCTTTCAGTCAGCTGGAGCACCGGTAGACTTTGAGGAAATTTTTATCAGGTTAGATGAACAAGGATTTAAATAAAATGTGTGTGTTTTTTTTTCCTTAGAATAATTCAAACCCTTTCTTTTCGTTGGAATGGACACACGATACATTCAATACATTCTGGAATTCAATTCTGCCAATCCCAATAATGTCAAAAGCAAGTGAAAATGAGGACTTTGTCTAGAAAAAGCATGAGACATAAGAACAAAATCTCAACTAACCACAACAACTTAAACATGTTTGCTGTGTTTGATTATATCACTATTCTATTCACACCAAACCAGTAATGGGACTGTACAGAACTGTAACAGGACTGAATTCTGTGTAACATGATTACAAATAAGTCACAGGAGAATGTTCCGGACCCGGTATGTAAAGAAAAAAAAATCAGTCAAATCCATTTCAAAGTATTTGGGAAAAAAAATATGCAGTCACATGTCTAGTATCAGTAGCTAAGTTTATGGGTTCATTTGAAGATTCCTGTTAACACTTTTAAAAGGTATATGTTGTCAACATGAGTGAGCGTAAGAATCCTGTTGATTTTCACTAATTGTGTCAATATGTTGAAGCATTTTGTCCCTTGGATGTCACAGTACCTTGTGTCCTTGTCATGTTTCTAATAATTCTATCCAGGAAACATAGTGAACATAATTTGAGATGTCATTGATGTTTTATGTTAACCTGATTCACAACACAGTAAATAATTACAGTAGCATTCTTATTTTAGCTACAGTTTTGTGTGATAATTAATATGTTTCATTTTTAATCATTTTAGTGAAGTACAACCTGCTCAGAGTGCTACTGTAGGCTCTGTGGTCGAATCATTTAAAAGAAATGGTGTTGGATTAAAAGGTATTATAGCCACACCCTCTAGTTTTAAAGGTGGTGTTCTACAGACATTAAACATGCAGATCAGGTAAAGATTTAAATGTTTCATTAAATGAAAAATTAAATTGGTGTTGTCTTACAGTTGACCTGGATTTTTAATTTGGCCCTTACCACATTGAATCTTTTCTTATAGATGCATCATGACAAGAGCTAAATCTGCCTTTTGCAGGTCTTCTTTTGATGTTCAAATGTTACATTAATTTTTAATTAGACATTTATTCACATCACAAGACCATTATCAACTCTCTAGACGAGGGGTGTCAAACTGATTTCAACGATCTCTTGTACGGTATTACATATACCTTAGATATCTGTGACATACAGTACAGAAGTTAGAGTTTTACTGAAACCGGAAAACAATAGTTAATGATTTCCAACGCTAATTTCTAAGAATTATTGACACGTCATCAGTTTGTTGAAATTTGTTCCACGGGCCACATTTAAAACCCTTGGCGGGCCAGATCAGGTGCGTGGGCCACATGTTTGACACGCCTGCTCTAAACCTTCAGTAAATAAAACACAAGGGGTGGCACTGACATCATGGTATCTATTGATCTCAGGCAGTCTAGCCTTTGTATTGTCTCAATGATGTAATAATTCTTGCTTTAGAGTAATCAAGCATTTTTAATATGTATTTCAGGCAAGAGTTAGATTTATTTGCCAATGTTGTACGTATAAAGAGTTTAGCAGGTTATAAAACGAAGCACAATAATCTAGATTTTGTTATTATTCGTGAACAAACAGAAGGTGAATACAGTGCTTTAGAACATGAGGTAAAACCAGGTTCAGACTTTATATATTCCAATTGTTTATTATAAATATTCTGATCGCAGTATCATGTTAGGGATTGTTATCCTGTGATGGTTAGTAGATAATATGATGAGGTACTCCTTTTGAAAACCCTGCCCTTGTATCCGATACAGGATTGAAAGCATAGAGGCTAATGTTATCCAGACTGTAATATTGATGAAGTCTAATTTCTTTTGTTTAGGCCGCGGTTAATTAATTGTCAGTTTCTCATGACCTGAGTTTGTGAAATATACATGCTACATGTGGTAATTATTAATTATTGAGATGAAATTTAATTTAGTTTAATGCTGTTTCTATTTCAGCAATAACTAATGTCAGTTACTTGGTCGTTGAAAACCCAACGGTAACCAGTGTCCGCGATTTATTCACATAATACGGATGAAAATGGACATGTGGGCAGCCGGGCAGGTCATGAAAAACAATATATTAATTAACCACGGCCTTATAATTAGAATGTTACATGGTGTTATTAGACTAGAGCTCAATAGGTGTTACAGAGTGTTTATTATTACAGTTTACTGAGTTATAAAGTGTTTAATTTGTTTGTATGTATTATTAGAGTGTACCTGGTGTTGTAGAGTGTCTAAAGATCGTGACAAAGGAGAAATCTCAGAGAATAGCAAAGTTTGCATTTGATTATGCTATGAGATTAAACAGAAAGAAAGTAACAGCTGTCCATAAAGCTAATATCATGTAAGTCAATGATTTCTGATATTTTTTTTTTTTTTAAATTTAGGGCATTGTTGCCTCCGCTGGCCTGAGTTTGTACTGATATTCATTTTAGAGATTGAACTTTCACTATATTGTAGTTTGCAAGGGGTTCTAAATCCCTCAGAGAGACTGATTGATACTTTCATGCATAGTTGAAAAACCACAAAAGGTATTGTTTTAAATTCTGATTGGCGACCATATTATTGCAGGGAATATTTAGCCAACTGGAGAGGTGAACTTTCTCCGAGCTATATGTTTTTAAAAGTAAATCTGTGTTTTCTTCCAGGAAGCTAGGTGATGGTTTGTTTTTAAGATCATGTGAAGAAATAGCTGAGCTTTATCCTAGTATAGAATTTGAAACAATGATTATAGATAACTGTTGTATGCAGGTTAGTGCTTATATCACCTTTTGCTGTAATTGCGTTAAGACTAAAGAGGTCATATTAATACCATGATATATTATTTAAATTTTTTACACCCACTAACTTATATTAAAACTTTTATTATGACGTTAATATTGATACCATTACATAGCCCCAACATCATATTGATTTATTGCTTCATTGGGATAAATAGTTATGTGACTGACAAATACATAACAGCAGAGAAATTAAAAAAAAGAGGTGGGGGGACCTTTAAAAGTTGCTCAATTGTTGTTTAGTGTATGCTGCATTGCAAAATTCATGCCTAACACAGTTGACCTGCTTGGTCAAACACCAGGAGAAAATAATGATCTACATTTTTCTCAACAGCTTCTGAATAATTTACTTGATTTAGATTTTATTATTCATTAGAAATTCTGTAATGTATACATCGTTTGCTATCTGTTTAACCAGTATTGTTTGTTCTTGGTTGCTCTGAACACAATTTATTTTATTTGACAGCTTGTGTCTAATCCACATCAATTTGATGTCATGGTGATGCCCAATCTCTATGGTAACATAGTTGATAATTTAGCTGCGGGACTGGTAGGGGGAGCTGGTGTTGTTCCTGGAGAGAGTTTCAGTCATGATGTTGCCATCTATGAACAGGTAAAAAACAACCGATAATTGCTTTTTTCTAATAAATGCTTACCGGTATAATTTCTAATGAATTTTTATGCCCAACAAATTTATTTTAAGAAAATTGGTACAAGATGTTAAAACAAACAAGGAATTAATGTATTAAATGCCACCTTTCACCAGTCGCATTGATTGCCAAACGTATCACCCATTAAGACAATACAATAATCAAAGATGAATGGCCAATTGTTATCTGGATCACATTTATTTCAAAATGCATTCATGATTAAGGTAAATCCAAATTAATTTGTATTTCTTCTGGGTTTTGATAAAGCTACTTGAGTCCTGTGAACATTTTTTGTTTTTTAATATTTCAAAACTTACAAATGTGCAAGTACTATAAGCCTTTGAGAAGAGAAAAAGTACTTTTTGTTTTTAGTTTGTATTTTGTCACCCCCAAGAAATAAGAAGACACATTTTAATAGGTGTTACAGAAGAATACAAGTTAAAATGGGTGTGACCTAAATACGTATCCTTTATTTCATCTTTCTTTTTTCTTTAGGGTGCTCGTCATTCATATGCTGAAGCTGTTGGTAGAAATATAGCGAATCCAACCGCCACCATTTTGGGTGCATGTAATATGTTAAAACATCTACATTTAGAATTTCACTCTCGTTTAATAGAAGATGCTGTTTATAGAGTTGTTAAATCGGGCAAGGTAAATAACTTATCATTTTATAGTTGTAACTTTTTAAGGGATATACTTGATTGTTTCTGAATTGAATTATCTCAATCCCTTGAAAAATGTCAATCGAGTGAACATGCAAAAGGTATGCACCAACTGAATATGATACTAGCTCGACAAATAACCCTATCTGAAAAGTTTGATTATGTCACGATACTGCTCACAACACATCTGTTTTCTGGCCTGGCAAAGCATCTCCATTGTTAACTTGGAGTGGCATTAATAATAGCTATAATTTAATATTTATATTGAAATGGATGTGGTAGGATAATCTGAAGCGCTATGCTTAGACACTTATGTCTCCCACATGATTGAGATTTCAATCCCATGAGAAGTAAAACCTTTTAAAGCCTGATACCAACACTGCTATAAAGTTGCATAGCTTTGTGATCTAGCATGTGCACTTTAGACCTCGATTTCTGTGTGCTTTAGATCATGCTTCTCTGTCATTAAGGTGGATGGTTGTGGTTTCAATCCCAAACATGTATGACAGGGAGTTAAGTTGTCTTTCTTAATCTTTTGGATTTTCTCTTGGTTCTCCTGCCTCCCACTCCTAAGGTGAATGAATCATTGAAATAAAGATATACCATATTAGTCCCAAAATGAGTTAATTTGTGTTGGGTTGCTGTTAAATCTCCATGATAATCTGTCTCTCTCGGTAATATTTTTGTTAGTAACTTTAATAGTGCTTCTTTTGTATTTTACAGTTCCGAACTCAAGATATGGGAGGTTATACATCAACTAGTGATTTTACTCAGGCTATTGTAAATAATTTACATACAGGATAAATGAAACTTTATATTCAAATCTTTTTTTAAAATATAATGTCAGGATCTGTTGGCCAAGAATATTTTCCTAATACATCTAAGTTCAAAAATTAATGAACCGTGACCTTGATACGCCAAATCATATTTTCACAGTCTTAACTATTTTAATGAGCAACTGTACAAATGTTTAAAGAAATTTACATGTTGTGAAAAAGAACTATGCGACTTGCTATCTTATATCATAAAAAAATGGCCCAGTAGTATGTTTAGGGTTACATTTGTTGACAAGTCACTTCTTGATATTCAAAAACCACAGTCGGACAGCTTGAATCTTCAGTCAACTAGCAGTTGAATAATGTAGCCTACTGTAGGAAACTTTTTTTTCCACCCATTTATCTATTAATTTATGAAACCTTTTATTTTTCTCTTTCTTTGAAAAATATGAACTAGGAAATATTTATTGGCCAAAATACAAGACTGTCACATAAAGCCTGGCCTTATATTTTAGAAAAGAATTTGATTACAAATCTTTATCTAATATCTAAATGAATCTCTTTTCTATTGAAGAACAAAGATTATTGAAAATACTGCCATTTAGTGGTGCAGTCCTCTTGCGTTTACAGCAGATGTGACTATTACAGATAATTCTTCAGTCGACATTCATACAATTATTTTATTTGCTCAAGAGCTGATGGAGTATTGTTAGACTGTATATTTTTGTTTTGATAATTTATGTTTCTTTTAATACTGTCGTCACTGGTATTTGAGTATACCCCCCTCCCCCCAAAATCTGTGTCCATCCACTAGATTCATTTCCAGATTTTTGTCCCCCGACTTTTGAAGAAAGCAGGGGACTATTAAAATGGGTCCGTCCGTGACAATTTTTGAGGCACAATAACTCAAACTTGGTGTAGGTGTTTATTAGGTGAATGCCTTGATGGAGTTCGAAGATGAGCATGTTCTGATTAGGGTAAGCAGAGATAAGCAATTTGATTGGTTGATGTTTTGGGACACAATAACTAGCTCTAATTAAATGCGAGTGATGAAACTTGTGTATAGTATCATTACATCAATACCTTGACTAAGTTCGATGCTGAGTATTTTCTGCTGAGGCAAAGTAGAAACTTAAGTCTGATTGGTGTAGACTTTGGAACACAATAACTCTTTCTAATTGAGGCAGAATGTTCAAACTTGTGTGTAGGTGTCTTATTAGGTGAATGCCTTTCCAGAATTCGATCATGCGCATTTTCCACTAATTTTGTTTTGTCAAGACTTTGAAAAATAACTCTGCTTTTAATTGATGTAGAATGTTTAAACTTGGTGTAGTCATTCAATAGGTGAATGTCTTGACTGAGTTCAATGATTAACATATTAACATTTCCCACTAAAGCAAAGCAGAACTAAGCAATTTCATTGGTTGATGCTTTGGGACACGGAGATTGATGAAACTTGGTGTATAGTTTCACTACCAGGTACTTCAAAACCTTGACTGAGTTTAATCCTGAACATTTTTTGCTTAGACTAGTATAGATAATCAGTTTGATTGCTCAATACTTTTGAAAAAGATAAACGTGCAATTAATCAGTATGTGTCATCTATTTATTTTGGGATTGCGGCGGGGTACATCAGCCTCACTGTTGGCTTGTAGTATTTATTAAGAAAAATTTGATAATAGACCAGTTTCTGGTAATAATGAATTGTTATATAGCTGTAAATATGAGAGTGTTAATTTAAATATATATAGATATAGACACAGGGCTCTTACTAGTTAATGTTTTCCAGTTTTGTCTGATTGACATTGAAAGCATCTGGTTCTGATGACATGAAATTTAAATATTTTACTCGATTACAATACTTTAAAGTTTAAAAAAATGAATATAGAATCCAAATCAACTGATTTGACTTGAATTCTATAAATTGCTCAACTCCCAAGATCGTACATTTATTTAGTCGTAAATTGCCAAGATCGTACATGCTCAATATAATTCCCAAAGCTAGATGGCGTAGCTGCTCCACTGGTGTCATAGTTCATTCTACAGACAACTTGAATCATCTGCTAGTGAATTCGTCTGCTAGTCCATAAGGCATTGTGTACCGTTGATGTCATTCCCACATGGCTTGCTTATGGGGATTTTCAATTGTGCATTGATTACAAGTTCTATTGTTCAGTGAAGATGGCTGCGAAATGCAAACAGGATTATTTCTCTTTGACAGAATGAGTCGATTTATTAGCGGATTCTGATAGCGGGAAAGTGTATTTTCTTTCGGATAATGAGAGTGAACGTGAATCTCATTACAGAAGGTCGAAAAACAAAAAAAACCTGGGCTATTTATGTCTAACATTTTCAGAATGCCTGTGCAGTGAAAGAATTAAAAAGCTTGGAAATGTCTTATTGCCATTATGTTTGATAGAGTCCTGTATATAGGCGTATGTAGATGTTTTACTGTAGTGTAGCTAACAGTAATGATATAAATATATTGTATGATGCATCCATTCTCAGAAACCCATAGTCTGTCTCAACAAATTGTTTATGTTTTGCTGGCTTCTGTGGGGTATAGGATTTAGATCAATCGCAAACCAAATAAATCTATTACAGTTTCCATATTAATTTGATTCAAGTATAAATTCAAAAAGGCAAAGATTTCTGCTTGTATATAAATGTCAGTGAGACATATTTTTGTGCTCGATTGAAACATATGCCCATCTTTGTGTTTGATTGAGAGTCAGGGAATCATAAATGATGATAGATTTGCTGTCGATTACGGCAAAGAATATATTTGTTAGTTCCGATAGCAGATATGGAGTAGTAGAATTATGACAAAATCAAACATGTTTTGTGTGTAGAGAAAATATGATTGCATGCTTTCGTCACCTGATCTTCTTATGTTAACTTGATAGTCATCGTTTGTGGGGGTCTGAAAATTCATTTTATTTTCGATTGAGTACCATCTATGGTTTTCAGAGAATGATAACATTTGTTGCTTTTATGTATGAAGAATTCGTTACAAGTTATTTCTCTTTTGTCTTTCTTTTTGTGGGGGATTATTGGGTGGTCAAATACAGATTTATTAGATATTCTAATTCAGTCGTGGATAGGTTTATAATCCATTTTAGAGGACATCAGAGTGACAGAAGACATCTTTAATCACGATTTCAGATATGACGTCATATACCCATATGACGTCTTATATGATGCAGTTGGTTTGATGAGAATAGAACTGATCCTATTCATACAACAAGCTGTCCATCCGAGGGGGGTTGGATGGCTGAATGGTTAGCATGCGCGCGCTGTATCAAAAAGTCTGTCATTGAGTCGACTGGCGTGGTTTTGATTCCACGGTTGTACGTGACAAGGAGTAGGGTTGCCTGTCCAACCTTGTGGGTTTTCTCCCACCGCTAAAGACCCCTACATGCAAGCAAATTAATGAAATAAAATTGAATCATATGTTAGTCCCGAAATGACCTAGTTTGTGTCAAGTGGATGTTGAACCCAATTTCTCTCTCTCTTTTGTCTTTTCATTCAAATGACAGGAACATCTCTTGCTTGCTATACTCACAGCTCAATATTGTCGATTTGAATTGAGATCAATTGTAGCTACAGTGTAGGGGGTTTGCAATGTGTTGTGACAAATAAGTCTATGAAATTAAGTATCTCATCAACTCGCCAATATTTTACACAGTATAAAAATATTACTTTATATTTACAAAGAGACGCAATGAGATAGGGAGCTGGGATGGCTAAGTGTTTGATCCCGGTGATGCTGAGTAAGTTCATCAGGATTTTCTGGCTTGGTTCCCCCTTGTCTGTGGTACAGGACAGAGGGCCCGGAAAGGGACAAGGCATAGTCATTCGGATGGGATGAAAAAGAACCCTCGACAGTTGGAATTTAAAAGAAGGCCGTAGTGCTGCTGTCTGAGCAAAATTTCCCTCATCACACGCTGTATGACCGTCTTCATCAGCTCAGTTGGAGCAGAACAGTAAACCCCATTCCATTTCACACAAGATACAAATCACCAACATTTAAAAGCATATCTTGCCCCAAACAATGCCCATTACTTCTAAGTACCGGCAGGTTAATGAAGCATGAGTTGGACTTCAATTTCAAAAGCCAAACCCATTTCACTTCTTTTTTTGATTTAATCTGCACGTCTTCAGACCAAGATGAGGTGGAGTAACCAACTGAAGACTAATATGGAATGAAATGTTGATATAATTTTAATTATACTCGACATGACAACATCATCAGCTTATGAAACATGAAAGACGACATACACTTTTATTTTCTCCCAAGACACGTACATGTAAAATGGAATGAACATTCATAGCATAGACAAATCACAAATATTTCTATGGCATCAAACTTCTGAATTCATGTGAATATCCCTGGCCAATTAAAATCAATATTTCTTGAGGTACTAATATTTGTAATTGGCTGTGTTTAATTTACAATACTTAAAGGAATTGTCCCAAATCTTATACAGTATATCTTGAAATAAGTGGTTCTAAATTAAAGTATGAGTAAAAACGCCTTATTTTTTAGATCTGTGGTCCAAAAGACAGTTAATATATTCTAATGACTATCAGCAATGTCATTCACTAATTAACGGAGATCATTCATGACTCACCAATCCACAATACTATTATGTAGATATGTTTTCAACACATCAGCTAAATTAGAAATTTAACAAAATTATAAGCCTATATGTTTGAATTCAATATATTACCTTTTGTAATTGTAAGCTTATAGACATATTTACCCTGGCACAATCATGGTATTGATTAAGAAACCTTGTCGCCAGCGACACATAAAAACTGTTTTATGTACAGTACAAAGATAAAGGTTTATGGAATTAGCAAGTTTTATTTACCTGTACACTGTACATATGTGTGACTGATCATTTAATGGTACGAAATTCATATCTTGTCCATTTCCCAATAGCAGATAGAAATGTGTAAATGGAAAAGCCACATCAAACTGAATATTACTGTAAGCCAAGATGTTATTTACCCTTAATTTCCCCATCATTACTAAGTGATTTGACTGTAAACTATGGCAACAAATAAACAAAACTTCACAACATGGCTATTATCTACACTCAAAAGAATAACATAAATATTGGTGGTAATTGAATTGATGTGACTAATATCATACTAAATGTTTTGAATAATGTAGACTAAGTTCCATATCCAAGTCAGTTTAACTACTTTGTCAACTAGTCACTAGCTATTAATAGTAATATGAGATCTCTAATTGATACTCGTACAGTAATGAGGTCACAAGTTTGCAATTCTCCAACAAGACCAATGCAGCATATATCATACACATCTTGAATTAACGACATCATTAATTATCTTTTCATTTTATTTAGGGATACGTCTCGCCAGATATCTGATATTCGCTGTCAGTAATATGAAAATACTCAAATTAAGTCCCTAACTAAATAATTTAGAACTTTAATGAACAAATCGTTCCTTAAGCAGTGGTTACAACCATCAGATGCAGCGACCAACCTATCAGACAAATGGTCGGATGGACACAGAGAGAGAGAGAAATTGGGTTTAACGTCCACTCGACACAAACTAGGTCATTTCGGGACCAACATATGGTTTAATTTTATTTCAATAATTCGCTTGCGCGTAGGGGTCTTTAGCAGTGGGAGGAAACCGGAGGACCCGGAGAAAACCCAAGAGGTTGGACAGGCGACCCTACTCATTGTCACGTACAACCGTGGAATCAAAACCACGCCAGTCGACTCAATGACAGACTTTTTGATACAGCGCGCGCATGCTAACCATTCAGCCATCCAACCCCCCTCGGATGGACAGCTTGTTGTATGAATAGGATCAGTTCTATTCTCATCAAACCAACTGCATCATATAAGACGTCATATGGGTATATGACGTCATATCTGAAATCGTGATTAAAGATGTCTTCTGTCACTCTGATGTCCTCTAAAATGGATTATAAACCTATCCACGACTGAATTAGAATATCTAATAAATCTGTATACGAAGCATGGCCTTACTGCCATTTTATTGAGTTATTAAAAAGGAACAAAATGTTGCCGTACAATCAACAGAACAATTGTATCATGTTGCACCCGACGGTTGTATGGATTGGTTGTATAGTGTAAACGCCATTTAAATATAACAAACACAAATTTGATTGATTATACTTTTCCTGTTTTATATTCAGTAATCTTTAAAAATTTGGACGGAAAAACTGCTGTTTTTGATATGAATAAATCACAAAATTGCTCAAAAAATAATTCATTTTATAAGTAAGTCTTCTAAATACTGAAGAATTGTTATAATTTGATTGGACGGATAAACATTTAAAGATTAATGGGGTATGTTTGTAAGTCTTAAATGAGGATAAAGGAAATACATATTTTCAGCTCCTGAGATAACAAGCCAACAGTTTGAACATTCTATCTCAATTAGAAGGAGATTTTATGTGTCCTTAAAAGTGTAATGGACAGCCAGACCTATTTTAATAGTCCTTTGCTCTCTTTGAAAAATGGGGGACCGACCGGTAGGTCTCAGATCTGTTTTCTGTTTATTTGAAACTTTATTAATATAATTTTCCAATCAAATTAAGTTTTCTGGTCCAACTGAAAGGTTTAAATGCAAAACAGATCCATTTTATTAATTTTGATTAAAAGTAACGTGCAGCCTATTCCAAACTGTTAACTTCTAAATCTAAATGACCGATTCCATGCCAAATTATGGACGACACTCTCAATGCACAATTACCAAACTTTTGGCGGGAATGACTATTCTGTTTGCAATGAAAACATACACAATAGATATAAATGATTATCATGATAATAAAGGAATTCATAAAAACTGTGAATTACTTTAATTACTGTAAACCAAGAAATAATGAGGACAAAACTGTGTATTGAAATGAATGTGACCAGTGATAATAATTTATATTTAACACCATCATGTGACCAGCTCTGTCTAAATAAGACATGTCACATCTCCTTTATTATATGAGATGCAGTACAAAATATAAAAAATGTTTTTTACCATAATATAGATTGTCTAAATTAGGTAGAGCAAGTCACATAAAAATTTATTTTACAGTATCTTAAATCACGCTTTTCCTGATTACATAACCATACAATATAAACGACCGCTAATCAGTTTGACATACTGGCAATGCCTTGTTTCTGTGCAAATTAAAGGCACACTCAAATAGTTTTCTAGTTTGTTTTGTGTTGCCAATACGTTTACAGGAAATAGCTATATTATTGTATCCAGTAAGTAAAAATCATCACTTTCTACAATATTGACACAAATATAAATGAGTGATGATACATGTAGATATAAGAAGATATCTAGATATATTATATTATATTAGATTGAACGAGTATCTTTATTTCTTTTTACTACATGCTTTAATTAACCAATCTAAACCATGCTGTAAATAAACAAAATAAACATATATTAAAATTAATCAAATCAATCAATACTAACATAATTATATAAGTTATGGTCATCTAAACTTCACAACACTTAAATTAACATTGCCATCGTTATTTCTCTCCATGAACATCAATGTCAAGATAGTATCTAAACTGGTTTGTTCTTAATTTAATTGTCTAAATTAATATTTAAATAACATTTTATAGCTCTTCATTTTGGTACATTTATCTAAGGAAAATATCACTGGCCTTCTGGGACATTGTGACTTTAATTGATGACTTTTTCCAAGAACCCTGACAAACTAACCCAAAAAGTACTATGTATGAAGTATGTACCTTAACACCCTCGCCTGTCTGTGCTGAACAGGCCTGTATATGCCATTCTCTGTCTCGGATCTGATGTAGATTTAAACCTTCTGCGATATCACTAGCAGGTGCAGCCGTTACTAAATCTTGTTTATTAGCAAAAACCATAACAGGTACACCACTTAACTTTTCTTCCTCTAATAATTCAGTTAATTCCTACAATAACAACAACTTTAAAGAAATATTTTTACTGTGCACCAGAAAGAGCAAGGACCATCTCAACTGAACATACTGAATGGGAATGTTTTATTCCAAAACATGAATTGAAATGTAACATTTTTGTTTTTTGGCATACTATTTTAATATTAATTCTTCATGTAGAAGGGGTGATAAATACACCTTTTTTGATCAGGGTGGCAGGGGCTGTCCCCATTAAGAGTGAAGTGTGTTGCGAAATGTTTTTAACTGTATGACTATGGTAGCCAACATAGAAATAGGTACACAAAAATCACACAAACCTCCCCTGTTTCTTCAAACCGTTTTCTGTCTGCACTATCTATAACATAAATCTGAAAAATAGAATATTCATTTAAATCACTCAAAAGTAATTTGACAAACATTTGTAAAAATATTAAAAAAAAGAATAATGGTTACACTCTTCAGTCTGAATGGATTTGGTAAAAACAATTTAAAATTTGTATTTTAAATAAGCTGTGATGAATATTGGGCTATACTTTAATAAGAATCTGTCCTCAATTCAGATAAGCAGAAAAGATAGTATTAGAACAAATTAGTGGATAGCTTCTATGAGCACTCCATGATCAGAAATGATACTCCAAATGAGCTGTTGGACAATGTTAATACCGGAATTCTAGTACTCAATGAAACCAAATGCTGAAAGGGTACAGTATTTAAACCATATCACCACATACCAAAATGTCTGTATTTTCAAAATAATTTTTCCAATATGGACGAATTTTCCTTTGTCCACCTATATCCCATACATTTAACTGGAATCCTGCTGATTGCACTGTTTTGATATTAAAGCCCTGAAAATATATTTGTAAAAGTTTAAAAATATGATTTTAAATATTGCTTGAAAACGTTGAGAGAATACTCTTCGAAACGTCGCCCAAATAAATCAGTAATTGTTCTTCCATAAGAATGTGTTATAGTTTATTGCTCTATCCAGTTACTAAATGCCTCTAAAAGATCATGATTTTAAATCTTATATTCTGTGGTTAAAACAGGCTTGAAAGAAAGGGAGAACTATAGATCTCATTCTCCTAGACTCATTTGAAATTAAATTTAGGAAAAAGAGCTTATAACCATACCTTATAAAATAAGCTTAAATAGCTCTCCTCATCTAAGATACTTTTGCATTGTTTTTAATAAGCAAACGATTTTAAAATTGACAAATTTTGTCATTACATGAGCGGCAACAGGAAGTGGTAAGATGATGAACAGCATCTTGTTGATCAGATGAAATCCTGTAGCAGTGTACACGTTAGTTTGCACGTAAAAGGGCCCTTGGCAGTTGGAATTCATCGAAGAGTAGGTGAAAACTGTCCGAGGAAAACTTCTCTTTAATGGCCAAGAGTCTGTATGATCATGCCACAATGATAGTCAGATCATTATTCAAGAAAAGATTATTTGTAATGAATTGAGTAGTGAACACTCTGTAAAACCTGCTTTACAGTTTGTAGACCAATAAAAATGTTTTCATAAGGAAATATTATCCAATCAATATATGGACAATTCCTCGAGTCAGATCAGTGTACCCTGGTAAACAAGGCACAGAAATCAGTGTAACAGTTGAATTAGGACCTGAATTTAAACCCTTCAAAATGGATTTAATATATACCAACCTGTGTAGGGGTTATATGACTGATATCTTCAGATGCCAATGACTTCAATAATGTCGTTTTACCAGCATTATCTAAACCCAATAATAAAATTCTCAATTCCTTTGCCTGTGTCCCTCGTATCCTTCGTAGTAAAGACAACAAACCCTACAAAAGATTCAAAGTTATTTTGTTTTTGTAATTAAATCTCATTAAAGAGAATTGGTATGTTGTCCAACACAGCCACATATGAGCTATAAGTTACTATAGTATAAAAGCTTATATAAATGAGTTTCCTCTAAAGTGGCGTTTACACGATAGGGCTTACAACCAATCCATACAACGATCGAGGCTATGGTCGCATCCGACCAACAAATGGTTGTATGGCCAGCTAGTTGTATGGATAGTACCAGTTCTATACCTCAGCCGATTGATGCAATAGCCAATCAAATTGCGTTAGATTAGCGACGTCATACAGTCATATCTGACTTGGCAACCAGAGTTCCAGTTAATTTTTATTTAAGATGGCTTCTTCTGTTGCTTCAACTAGTTCAACGTCCTCTAAAATGGATCTAAACCTATCTGTGACTGAATTAGGGTATCTAATAACTTTGTGTAGGGCACATGAACCCTTGTGGAGCCTGCAGCATCACTGTTTAAACAATAACATTCTTCTTCAAATGACGCCATTTTATTGAGTTTAATACTACTGGACAGCTTTTGTTTGTCAATGAGTTTTTGTTGTTCAATGAAGGATAATTAAATAAGGTAGGGGACATGTAGAATTTCCTGACTGACGCCTTTCATCTTGTGGGTATTTGGTCTGATAAAACTGTGTTTCGTCTTATATGGCCGATTTACATAAATTTGTGTGTTACCCTATATTTAGATTTCATTTGCTTCTGCCTAGTTCAGCTCAGAAGATTTCAATTTTTTTCTCCCAGACTTACCTAAATTTTGTTTCATCTTATCTTATATGGCCGAGTTTGTAAATTTGTGCGTTACCCTTTCAATGAAGTTCTCCAAGTCAGTTAGAAGACGGGGACATATTTTTTAACAAAGTGTTGTGTCGCTCATACTGGTTCTTCTAGCGAGGTAAGCAAGGTCTTATTTTCTCACTAAGATGTTCAATCATATTGTTCAGGCGTTCACAGGGACTTACACGCGACCGTTTAGCAGTAAAAAGTTGCCCAGTAAAATTGACTGGGAAGCGATTAAATTTTCGAGAAGGATTCAATAGGACAGTTCCAGAACGTAGAGGGCGAGTGTAATGAGTCGACCTACGTTCAGAGCTGAACTACATGTAGCTACTGCCATGCAGTTTAGCAGATGGGGACGTATTTTTAATAGCATGTTGTGTCGCACATACTGACTGTAACTCTAGCGAAGTAAGCAAGTAGGGCCTATAATAATGTTCAGATAATATTCCATTCACAGGCATTCATGTTTGAACCTTGATGTGACTCCCATTTTTGTGTCAAAATATTTCTTTGTTGTTGAAGATTTTGTATTACTCATTGGTTTTAATCTTAAACCCCTAACCCTGAATTTAATAGGTTTTAATCTTATACCTGACCCTAACCCTAAAATTTTAATTTAAAACGACTAGGCTAGTAACTTAACTTAAGTGATGGATGGAATGTAAGTGATTGGAAATAGAAAAGGGAGTCGGATCAAACATGATCGCCGTTAAAAAAAGGAACCAAGTACATAAAATCATAGACCTTATATAGCATTCGTTTCAACAACAATTTTCAATGTTTAAGTTGTGTGTGTACGGTCGAAAGGCATACGTTTTCTTACCATAATTTGGCTGGCCGGAGTTATTTACTCTGAGGTAACTACGTGTGACGTCACTCTGCAAGCTAATCTTTCTCAGACAGCCGAGAGCTGAAAAGGGGGATTAACTCTGAAATGTGTGGTATGCAAGGGTTCAGACAGCAATGTTTTCTAAAGTGATGAAGATACACATACAAAAATAAGAACTACATTTTGACATTGTAAGTAATTAAAGTAGCTTCCATACAGGAATAAGTTTCCACGAATAGTGTCAATTTGGGATATTAACTTTTTGTTTGTAACATTTTGAAAGAAGAAACCAATAATTATAATAGTTTTTGTAATAGACAACAACAGAGTCAAGAATATTAATGAATGTCATTCAAATCAGACAACAGAATAACGTTAGCCTACACGTCGGATCAATTTTCAATCATCCACAGTGAATCAGTGACACACATTAAATTTGAATGAACTATAAGCAACCGAGAAATAGATTCCTTTAATTTGACTCTGACTGTACTTACATATGCTTTAGCATATTGTCAATGACTAAAGAGCCACATTATTAAGCCTTGCTTGATTGGACAAGGTTAAATTAAGTCCACAATGAACCCTTAACATTCATGAGCTAAATATAGTTTAATTTCAACTAGCTGGAGAACCATATGTGTTCTATAGACATTACAAAAACTGCAATAGCCTAAGTAAATGTCAAGTAATTGTCTCACATTAAAAGAGCTAATCTCTAATAGCTCTAATTGTATATATTGTGCATAATATACGAAATTAAAAACACAAATTTTAATTCAATATGGGTCCATTTATATCTTGTCGTGAAAATATGGGATCATTTTATAAAATCCAATATAAAGACACAATGAACATTTTGATATCACTATCAGTAGGCCTACAAAAGTCATGTAGGCTATATAATCAAGGACATAAAAAATCAAACAGGCTAGAACGTGTATCGCAGAAATTAAAACACAAATCATATTTAAACTTAATCCTCGAGTACATGTAAAGCAAATGACGGTCTGTTCCCCGACACGTAGTCCAAACAATTATTACCACCATATTAGGGAAATGCAAATTGGACAGCCTTCACTTACTTCCCGTTTTTGGGCGCCATTATGAACGAAGACAAACATATCCAACCAGACAGTGCGAAAATGTAATGGTTGATTCCCAAACGACAAAATAAAAATGAACAAAATGTGTAGAATAGACTTGGTAGGCGTAAAAAAAATAATGTTCAATTTGGACTATTCGCTTATTTCACCGAACATGACTGATTAAAAATTATTTAAGAATTTTAAAAATTGATTATAAATCAATTTATATACATTCATATTACATGTGTGCTTTTAGACCCATTTTTGTCTATTTTAAGGTTCAAAAGAATAGAGCCATTCTCCCTTTAAAACATATAATGATATGGTGCCATTTTTTATTAAATAGACCTAATAATACAATAATAAAGTCCAACATTGATACCAAAAAAATATTGAAAAACTAACTAGTGAATTACAAAATCAACTCTAGCCTTGTAAGTTAGGAATTTTGATGTAACATGCCCACTTAGCTCAACTTATGAAAATACAATATAAACCTTCTTAGATAGCCTAAATTGCTACCCCCTTCCATCTAGTCCACCCAATAGAAGATTGCTTTGAGTAGGCTAACTTAAAGTGTGACATTACACAAAATTAGTGTGCTGCAGGTAGAGGCTATCAATGGCATAAAAAAAAATGTCAACAGAAATATAGGCTAACATATCAGGATCATAGATTAAACAGTAAATTTGGCAGATAATAAAATGTTGAGGATTGTTGTGACAATACTTTATATATTTTACAGATAAGAAATAAGGCCTACAGTTTGATTGTTGTCTTATGTACCGGTAATGACAAGTGAAAGAATTAATTTGTCAGTGCCCAGATGGGATCAGTCAACATTTACAGGAAGATTGAAATATTTTTCCTGGATAACAGATCCTAGGCTTTCCATTACACCTTCATCACAGTTGATGGAAGCTAAACTCCTGCTAGAAAAATATAGGTTTGTTGAGGTTTCTTATTCAAAACATTGATTTTGATATATTATTGCATGTTTGTGAAGTAGATTGTCATATGTCCTTCCAGCTAGCTGTCTGTAATATATGTAATTGTTGACTATTATCATAAGTAGGAACTCAATTGAAACCAATTGTGACCCTAGTTGACTCCAGATGGGAGCACCCTGCCCTGTCTGTCAGAACCAAAGATTTTGAGTTTATCGTTCTTAACTTAATGTTAATATTACGTTTTTCAGGAAAGGCGAGGAATCAAGCGGAACAACTGTAGATAAAATTCGACGGGCACAGCAGCTATATTTATCAGCATTCCATCCTGATTCTGGAGAACTGCAGAATGTTATTGGAAGAATGTCTTTTCAAGTTCCTGGAGGAATGGTACTAATTGGGGCTATGATCACATTTTATAGGTCTGTCTAAAAAGAAATTGTAGCAGTAATCTAATTTACATTAGATCAAACTATCATTTCGTAATCTAACCAAAAAAATGTGGGGTATCATGAAAGGATTTTTCAAGGTTCACTGGGGTTGAGGGTGTGGGGGCTGACAGAAGTATGTGCCTAGTTATTCAGATGTAAAATAACCTTGAGCAGTTCAAATTAAGAGTATTCGGAAATGCAGCAATCTGGGCAATAATCTCTTCATTTGAATTCTATAGGTAACAGTCCTAGTAATTTGGATGGAACAAATAACCTAGGTTTTGCACACATTCTCGTGTGCGTAAAACAACCCATGTAAATGTAGAGACTGGTCTTGAAGGCTGTCTTCTGAATGATGTCGATATTCTGCAGAACGACTGTAAATTAGAACATCAATATAATGTTAACAACAATATGGGCAATTTTGGTTAGAATTTCGGAAAAAGAAGTAATGGTTATGATTAATAATTTAGAAATAAAAATAAAAGAAAAGTGAAAGAGCACCCTATTAGTCAACTGTATCATTGCACAAATTATGATCAGCTATATATACTTGTAAGAAATGTCAGTTTCAGTAATATTGAACAAAAGGAAGATCAGAAATAACTTTTAAAAAATGTATCTGTGTTCCACCTTAAGAAATGCATTTATATTAAAGGAATCTTATTCTAGAAAGGAATAGTTCTTTGTTGTGGTTGGAATAGTTGTTTAATTTCATTACTAGTTTAGGGTTAGCTTGCAATAAATTACATACTGACCATCTATTGACAAAAAACGAAGACTATATGTACTTATTGCTCAGAGCTATATTTATGTCTTTGAAGTTTGGTAATCATGGTGATTTTTGTATAGAAATAGAAATTTTAGCCTAATGGTTATTCGATTATTATATTCTGGTTGATTATCTCCCTTTCTATGTATTTCAGATCTAATTCAGCTGTGATATTCTGGCAGTGGGCTAATCAATCATTCAATGCTCTAGTTAATTACACCAATAGAAATGCTGCTTCAGAAATAACAACAAAGTAGGTTTTATTTCATGTATTTCAAATGAATAAATGCCTGCATTTGGTTCGTATTGAAATGACTTCTTATGGAAGAAAGAATCATTTTATTCATCAAGTTGCCTGCCTAACATTGTGGGTTTTGTTTGGATTCTCTGGTTTTCTCTGATTGCTAAATATCCCTTATGTATAAGTTTTTTCCTGCGATGAATTGAAACAACATTGCATTAGTTTATTCATAATAAACAAGAGTTCATGATATTCAAATATTTAATAACTTTAAACCAGAAAATAATTATATTATGAAACACGAAATAAATGCAGGCAAGAAAATAATGCTTTGAAAGTCACATTGATTTCAATACACACATTCATTCTCAAACAAAAAATAAAGTTCAGAGTAATTACCCCTTAATTCAATAGTATCCGCAAACACAATACCCCACAAAACACTACACTAATCTCAAAAAGCTATAGTGTTTACGGCTCTTAGTAATAAGACATCTATATCTCCGGGTTGGATAGGCAGATCTGCCTCAAATTTGACATACAATCAAGTTTAAGCAAATTTATAATAGTATTGTTACTTTGAGCTCTGAATTACACTTGTGTTTTGTTATTTTTGTTTTAGACAGATGGCAGTGGCGTATGTCAGTGCAACAACTAGTGCGTTAGTTACAGCTCTAGGTTTAAAATCAATTCTAGCAAAAGTTTGTATATATTTATTAATCAGTTTACTTATTGGTTTGGTTTTAGTTTCCAAGCCAGTCTGGACATAAGGCATCTGTCACAGATTTTTTTTAGACACAAACTGTTATACAACATTTATATTATAATATATACATGGTGTGATAATTTTTCCTGACAATGTCTGTGACTGGTGCCTTATCTCCAGGCTTGTATATGTACGTTGTGTGGTAATTTGTACTTGACACAGTCTGTGACAGGTGCTTTATGTCCAGTCTTGTTTCGAAATGTCATATGTCTGAGTAGTTATAAAATGGTCACACTATTTACAGACATCATTGCTGTTGTGCCCTATCTCACTGCTGTTGTGCCCAGATCTTGCTGTGCCAGACCTCACTGCTGTTGTGTCCAGGGGGATCACGTGGCTAAGTGGGTAAGACGCTGGCTCGCTAACCTGGAGGTCGGGTGTTCGATCCCTGCATTGGCCGAGAAAGTTCATCCAGATTTTCCGGCGTGGTTTCCCCTTGTCAGTGATGCAGGACGGAGGGCCTGACAAGGACAGCTGTTTAGTCGTTCGGATGGGACGAAAAAAACGAGGTCCCGTGTACATATTGGCGTGCACATAAAAGTTCCCTTGGCAGTTGGAATTCGATATATAAGAGTAGGCCGTAGCGCCGCTGCCAAGGCAAAATTTCCCTCATAGCACACTGTATGGCGTATGCCTGTCTTTATTAGCCCAGTTTAGGAGCAGAACAGTAGGACGTTAAACCCCATTTCATTTCATTCCATTTCTGTTGTGTCCATAACTTTTTTACTGTATTTGTAGACACCAACTAATGCTTTCACAAATTCAAATAGTTTTACAAGGCTATTCAAACAAATTTTTGGATGTTATTTTACAACCATTATCAATGGAATTTGTCTCCAGTAGGAAATATTAGTTAAATATTATTAATTCTACAAAAATAGGTAAACACATAATGAAAATAAACAGATTTCAAAGATTCACAATTATTTAAAAATCTAAAAATGCATCAAAACAATCCAAAAATTGGTGATATTTATTTTAACAGCAGTTGAATAATGACCAATTTATGTCTTAGATACCAATCAATATAAGTATGATTTTTGATATCCAATTTTTCTTACAGAGAGCAACTCCATTAATTCAAAGATTTGTACCCTTTGCAGCAGTAGCAGCAGCTAATATTATCAATATACCTCTTATGAGGCAAAGGTTAGTAAGGATAAATAATGATCAATTATTAAAATCTTTGCATGCTCACAAACCTGACACAAGAATGTATGAGATCATTAATCAATTGGTCTTCTAATATACTTATGATTCAACAGTATTTTCTTTAGAATTTGTAAAATAATCTCTTTCGTCTTTTACAAAAGGTTAAATAAATTATCCATCACAAATCTCAATTCAAAGTCACAGTCTTAAATATGGTGCCCAAAATTCCTCTGACACAGTTAGTTTGCAATTAACTTGCATGATTTGTTTCAGTGAGTGGCTTGGTGAGCATGGCGATGGCTCATTAACCAGGGGCGTCTGGGTTCTATTCCAGTGTTGTCTGAGAAACTTCCTCTGGATTTTTCAGCCTGGTAAGGAAAATGTCTAGGTGTTCGGATGGGACAATAAAACCCCAAGTTCTTGTGTATACTCCTATCAGTGCAAAATTTCCCGCATAGCACACTTCATGGTCAATCTGATTAAAACACAGATCCTATTTCGTTTCGTTTTTATAGTTCAAAATTGATTGGTTAATCAAATGTCTGACGTCATAGGGTCATAAGTCGGTCTTTTGATCCCTGACGTGACTTATTGCTATAACTTGTCAGATCTTCATGTAGTGTAGGCCATCGAAAGTATAAAAAAAGACACGAAATATAGATCTTTATTTTAATCAGATTGTTTTCATGGTGTGTGACTGTCTTCATGATTTATTTCATTTGTTTCAGTGAATTAATAAATGGTGTAACAGTATTTGATAAACATAATAACAAAATCACAGAATCAAAGGTAGGAAAAGATTTTGAAAAATATGGGTACTCAAATTTTAATGGAAGACTTACTGAAATTATTACAGCTATATTAATATGTTGCATTTAAAGGGATATTGCCAGATATCCAATGCTCCATTAATAGCTCATCAGATTTATCCTACATAAGGGAATATTTTCAAAGTCCTAATTGAGTAATTGATCTCCTGCATTGACTGAAATGAAATGAAATGAAATGTGGTTTAACATCCTACTGTTCTGCTCCTATGCCCGGGCAGCGGCACTATCGCCAACTCTTATATCGAATTCCAACTACCAAGGGATCTTTTACGTGCATTCCAATGTATACACGGGACCTCGGTTTTTCGTATCAACTGAAGGACTAGACAGTTGTCCTTGTCAGCCCCTCCGTCCTGCATCACTGACAAGGGGGAACCACGTCGGAAAATCTGGATGAACTTTCTCGGCCAATGCAGGGATCGAACACCCGACCTCCAGGCTAGCGAGCCAGCGTCTTACCCACTAAGCCACGTGATCCCCCCTGCATTGACTGAAATTATTACTGACCTAACTTATATTAATTTTTTAGTATGCAGCTGTGAAAGGAATATCTCAGGTTGTGTTTTGTAGGATAATGATGGTTATACCTAGTATGAGTAAGTAGAAATTTTAGTAGGATCTAAGATAAACTAAATAGAATATTACTCAATAACTTTTCATTATGAGGCGGTATTAGTGTTAAGGCTGATCCCGACCGAACTAGACAACGACAACAACAATGACAGCAACTTCGCAGTTTTTGAACCCATGTCCTATAAGCACGACAACTACACACATTACTGCATGGAAATGAAGGAAAAATTTGCTTGAGATGTTTTGACTTGCCTTGATCTTAAAGACGTCATCATCACCATGCAAAGCAAAGCAATGAACATAAAAACCAAAGAAGAATTTGTTTCAGTGGTTTTGAGTCCCATTTATCTTATGTCACAGCAAGATTATAATTCTACAAACAACTGAATGGGAATAACTTTTTGTTTTGCAGCCATGTTACCAATATTAATAGAAAAATTAGAAAAAACAGCCTGGATGAAAAGAAATAAATTTTTAAATCCCCCATTGCAAGTTCTTTTAGCGGGTGTTACGTAAGTTTTACCTAGAAACATTATTACTCAAATTGCTGGTTAATTGATATAAAGTCACATCCACTGTATTGTTGAGTTCTGAAGTTTAATTGACATCTTTTTTTTTAAAGTGTCACTCCCTCTTTGAACTGGGTCAAATAAACTAGGCATTTTATTGTATTTTGTATGTTGATTTGTTTTCACCAATGACAATATGTCTTTGTTCAAAATTTTGTGTACTAGATTAAGTCAATATTGAAATATAACCCAGAACATCAAAAATGAAACTAAAATTATTTAATAAACCAACTTGCACTGAATGTTTCAAAACAAATATTTTACTGTATGGCGCTTATCTTATCACTAATTCAAATAACACATCAACCTAATTCAAAACTTTATTTTGATTTAAATTAAAGAGGATATTTATATAAAGCACCTTTTAACTATTTTAAATACATGTTCTGCACATGCTAATTATATTTATAGAATGTTGTTTATGGTGCCAGTAGGATGTTCTCTATTCCCACAGAAATGGTAAGTTGTATCTCTCCTCTTCATAAAAATTCAAACCTTTAACCTGATCTTTAAAAAAATTTGCTGGAAATAGACAATACTCACTTCATTATTATAGTCACTCTTTCTTTTTCATGTCCAATGTCCAATCCAATATTCTTTTCTGTTCCTATTATTATAAATCATCCACATCTTCTTTCATCACATACTCCATTTTCAGTACATATCATGTTGATTTATATAATTATGTACAATGTACTATACTATTATAGTAACTCTTTCTTTTTCATGTCCAATGTCCAATCCAATATTCTTTTCTGTTCCTATTATAAATCATCCACATCTTCTTTCATCACATACTCCATTTTCAGTACATATCATGTTGATTTATATAATTATGTACAATGTACATAATCTTTTGTATGTCCAATGTACACAACCGCTGTTTAATGTCTAATTCATATAATCTGTTACATGTAAAATGTACACCATCATTTTCATGTCAAATTCACACCTGTTCAACAGTCATTACATTTTCTATGTACAATGTTCTTCATATATCCCATCTGTTTCATATAGACCGGGGTACTCTTCAAAAAAAGTAGGGGATATTCAGAAACAATACAAAACTGCGGAAATGCACTGCTGTTTTTATTAGAGGTAACCAGTGTATGTTAGTAACAGGCCAATTGCCTACACATGAACATAAACAGTTCATATGGGCGGATTATCTGACGGCCCCATTTCACTCGCAAAGAGATACACTGTCAAAAGTCTTAATAATGAGTAATTGCTCCACCAATCCTCAGACGTTCAGCAATTTGTCGTGGCAGCTCCTAATCAACCGTCCAATCACGATTTTGGTCAATCTGACCCACTCTTCTTGCAGTGCCACGGCCAATTCTTGCAGTGTTGTCGGTTGACGTCTCCCGATCAAATTAAACGTAACACACTAAAGCAAAGATACGCTAAACAGTAAATCTTATGCAAGAACAGATAGGAAAGCAAACATGGATAGATAAACCAGCATGCGGCAGGTTTCATCAACCCTTCCTTGAAGTGTCAAATTTGACAATGAACCCCTCCCACGTGTATGGTGCTATTGCGTGTCACATGTGCAGCTCAGTGGCTCTGTTGGGGCAATGAGTTCTTCACCTGTGAACATACTCTCAAAGCATGTTAAATGTCCATGGCTATTTATCATATCGCAACCTACATAGGTATTTGCATTTCAATATCCCCTACTTTTTTTGAAAAAGTATACATTGTAGACTACATCAACTACTACTTCAGGTGGAAAGTAAATAATCTGTTCCCACAATATACAATGCACATCATCTACATTATGTGGAAGGTAAATCAGCTGTTCCAACAATCAATATACATAATCTGTTCCATTACAAATATACATTATCTGCATCATGCTGAATTTGAATTATACTGTATCTACACCAAACACAATGCCAACATTTTGCTCACAATGTACATCATCTGTTCCTTGTCAAATAAGCTTAACAAGCACTATATATACCCAATGGCCATGACTCCTTCATTTCATCATCTTATATCAGTTAAAGATACATTATGTAAGATTTAGATAAAGAGCTGGATTTGCTTGCTGTAATAGTTCAAGAATAGATAATGAAAAATGAATATATATTGAAAATTTAATTCAAATTATCACTGTTTGTTGTTTTGACAAGATATGTGCATTGATTGTTTATCATTGTAACCATGATACTGCTATATTTGAGACTCAACCTCGCTTTCCCATTTTTATACGCCAACATTTTCATGTTTGTTTTTACCTTGGTCTCTATCCATCTCTTGCAAAATGTGGGCGTATCCTTCCTGGCAGCCGCTGGTTAAATTAAAACATTAAATAGCCGAACCATTCCTTGGCCTAGATAGTTAATTATGGTCTTGTCATTTTAATAAATATCTAATTAATAATTCATATAACATTTAAGGCCTAAAGAAAGACCTGCAATACGCAGATTTAGCTCTTGAATAATGTTATCTTTAAATATAAAATGAACATGTATAGCTGTGTCCTGTAATCTGTTCCATGTGTGTGTGTGTGTGTGTGTGTGTGCAATGGATTAATATGTATATCATCTATATCAATGTCTAGTGTACATATGTTATGTCCAATGTTCAGTTAGTTAGTGTTAGTTGTATTTTACGTCCGCTTCCACCGAGGTGATATCGCAGACAAGTCCAATGTTCAACTACACATGAGCACTTAAGAGATGTAGCTTATAGCATGTCAAATGTCATATTCCTGAAGCAATGGCCCGAGAAATCCCTCTCTGGCCATTGCTGGATTGCTTTATAATCCCGATAGTCTAATCTATTTTTATATCCTACTAATCATGCTATTTACATATGCAGCACTATCTAATGCATATCACGAGGACACCTCACTTTCAATTTCTGGTCATTAGTAATAAACAACAGAAATTGCATTGAATCGATATGAAACCAGAGGAATAACAAAACAATGTATTACTTTATTTACACTGCATATACATACACAAATGGCGTAACCAAATAGAATGTCAGTTAACTCTCCACAAGCAATCACACGAAAAGTCTAGTATGTCATCCACATATCAAAATACGTTGGTTGAGTCATCCACACAGAATTGGTTGACTCATCCACATGGCATTGGTTATGTTATGGATATGAATAGTATTCAATTAAGTGATGCCTTATCATAGTATCCACCTGGTTGTCATAGTGTTTGATATAATGATTAACACCATAACACTGGTTCTGTGAATGGCTTCTGTTAATTAGTTTATTGTTACCCGTTTGTACATAACCTTCTGTAACATGTTTGATTGTATCATTGCTTGTTAACGGTTAGAGTACTTTCAATGAAACGTTGCAGTTAAAGATACCTTCCCATGTACAAACTGTGTGATTTGATGATATAATATTTGCACTAAAAACATATTCAAACTTATTAATCTATCAAAAATTTGCTTCAAATCCCTATCAAAGCTTTGCATTCGCGAGGAGATATCCAAAGATATAAAAAATCTATTTTTAGAAGTCATGTTTCTCACCTGGGAGGGCCCATTTGTCATTACTTACTGTCCATTTACCATACATATGGAGGCATAAGTAAATTTTTGAATTATTTTCTAGTAACTTCTTTTTCCGCTGTTTAATTGCAGAGTCTGTTATACGTTTACACCCATCAGTGTTCCCCAAACCGCCTAACTATTTGATCAATAAATAATAATAATAATTGTTTTCTATAGCGCTGAACATTCAGTCAGTCTGACTGCTCTGTGGCACTTTACAATGTAGATATGATTATAAAAAGCATACATGTATATACAAATAAACAAAAGAATAAAAAGGAATAGTCAAGTTACAATATAGAAATGGAAAGTGAAGCATTTAAATTGTAGTTCAAAAGTTTGGGTAAAAAACAGGGTTTTTAGATGTTGTTTAAATATAGCCAAGTTTGGACTTCCAGAGGCAATTTGTTCCATTCTTTTGGTGCTGCGTACGCAAAAGCTCTCTCACCAAATTTTGACTTCTGTACTGGACATACAAGTTGGATTTTATGAGAGGAACGTAAGGACCGAGAAGGTACATATTGTTTAATCAAATCGAATAAATAGGATGGTGCCAATGTCAGGGTATCTGACCCCCCTTCAGTTTGAATCCAGTTCAACATGATTTTAGGTATTGAAAAAAATAAACGAATAATATTTGTGACGTAAAAACTTTCTTTTTGATATTTTGAAGCCTGGTATTCATGGTTTTTATTTTTCCGCCTGTTTGCTTGCTTAAAAATTCCAATCAAAATCGTGTAGGCTACATGTGAGTATTATTACATCAGTAAAAGTAAAACATAGTACATGTGTTTGGTATATCATTATGCTGTGTTAAACTTTAGTTTCTGTGGTTTAGAAAAGTGACCTCCATTTACCCCAGATATACACCAAAATGACGCTACAGACCATGCCATGTATCTTTCAAAACTTTTCGAGCCCCCCACTTGATTGTCCTAGGGCCTGGAGTGCCCTGTTGCGCGCCCTGGTTGCAGGACGGAGTGTCTGGCACGTCTTTCCTGCACTCATTACTGATACGGATTTATAAGCATTTTCTGCACCAAAAAAAGTAGTTTAAATAATGATGGAGGATTCTAATTGGCCAGTGGCTCTGCAATAATTAATCCCCGACTCCACGGAAACAAAATTGACTAATGAAAAGTGAATTCAATCATTTATTGTAAATGCTGAATTAAAATATTTGGAGATATTAGTTTGAAAGAATTTAAAGAAATTACTTAAAGCAAACCTTTAAATTTTAATAATCATTTTTTTAAATATTATCTGTAGCCCATTGTGTAGCACCATGGGTCTTTTGTCAGATGTGGAAAGTGGACAGGTACTAAAACCGGTCGCCACATCCTACGTATGACCCATGCACTCTTTTCTTACTACATATCTTGGAACAACCCTGTGATCCTCTAGTATTTATAATTGTATTCTTTGTTTCCTTTTCACATTGTATATTTTCTTCTTACTATCTCAGTAATTAAGATGTTTGTCTTCTCAGTAATTAAGATGGATACATATCCTTAGAATGCATAACAAGATTACAATAGCATATATAAATTAACATCTTTCTCTCAATCCCATTGGGGCCAGTCTGCTGATAGAAATTGCTACATCATATGGTCTAGGAACTCAGATGGTAATCTCTCTGGAATCCAACAATATCTGAATCTTAAATGGCTGGTTTAAGCTTTTTAACAGATGATATTCTGAATACCAGGGAACCAGTTATGTTTACCAAATTAGAACTCTTTTTATGTTTAAATCCATCACTCATTTTGATTTAAGTGCATATGAGACAATATGACTTCTATACAATGTGTTAATCTAATAATTAGCCAAATATATTATTAATACAATGCTACTAATTTAAAGAGCAAAAATTCTACCAATCTTGCTACAAGTGACCGATAAAATGTTAATCCAGATCTGATAGT